AAAAAACGCGTGCAAATAAAAAAAAACACACGCAAATTAAGAAAACATCTTCATCAGTTTCACAACACACGTGTGCTCCAAATACTCACAACACCACCATACAGAAACGCGCTGCAAATAACACAGAGCACAACGGAAATGTTTCCAGGGGAACCAAATAAGTGACGAACCCGGCTGGGACGTGCTGGCATAGATATCCATAAATCTATGCGTGCTGGTGCTTACAGCTAAAAAATATACTTTATTTATTTGTGCAAAACATACAGAGATTACATTTTTTATGACATACAACTTGTATACAATGTACAAAATGTATTAACAATATGTTCAATGTCATCAGAATACAAATGAGAAAAGAACAATGAGCTGGAAACTAAAATAAATAAATAAAAAAGATAAAGAAGAAAAACATGAAGGAAAGATATTTATCTTTAGATCAGTTAGTTACACTGTACAAATTGTTTCATGTTATTACATTTACATAAAGAAAAGTTTCGTAAGAAATGTTAGGTAATGTAGGGTCCAAAATTTTAAAGTCGAGACACAGATATATAACGCATATTTTAAAAGCTTTTTTTGTAAACTAAAAATGTATTTGCATCCGTTATGTTAACAGCATTATATTTCTGTTGTAAGACCAGCTGATGGACACCGTGCTGCGTTGTCATGGGAACATCCCACGTTGTCTTTAGTTGCTCCCTTCATCAAGTGCGCTCCACACGGCTGCCTAACAGCACACTAGAGCCTTGCTCACTCCAAAAGGGCTCTAATATCTGCCCTTCGAAGGGAGTATGGCATAGGGGAGCTCACGAGCAATAAGCACGTCCCAGCCGGGTTCGTCACTTATTTGGTTCCCCTGGAAACATTTCCGTTGTGGTCTGTGTTATTTGCAGCGCGTTTTCTGTATTTGGTTGTGTTGTGAACTTTTGCAGCGCGTTTCCTTATTTGGAGCACGCGTGTGTTGTGAAACTGATGAAGATGTTTTTTTTAATTTGCAGGTGCTTTTTTATTTGCATGTGTTTTTTTCTATTTGCATGCGTTTTTTTGTATTTGCACGCGTTTTTCTCTATTTGCATGGCAGCGCGTTGAGCTGTCTCGGCCACCGTAGTGTTTACATTAACGATAAATAAAGTAATCGGGTTGATGTGCGCGTTTATATGTCACAAGATTCAAATCGGAATTGATTTTTTGACATGCGCACACTGCACGAATATGCCGCTGTTCGCGCATAACTATTCTCCTCTATTGGTTCTTTATTTTTTTTAAACAGCAGACTTAATATTTATCCGTCTCTGGTCATGATTTGGAGACGATGAGCATGAACCGTTTTGCCATGCTGCTAATATTGATCACGCAGTAAACCCCCCCCCCTAGCGTCCATGGATGATAATCTGAAAAAAGCACTGGTGGGACGATGTCCTGCTTCACTTCACAGACGCGGAGTGAAATGAGAATTTTTTAATAACGGAACACTCGTTTTATATTCACTTTATTCAACAGGAAGAACAGCTCGTTCCGTGCGTCATACGTCATTACGCTATTTCAACGTCAGTGCACATGCGCAGTCCTTTTAGTTTCGGTTTTCAATCCGATCAAGTGTTTACATGTTCTCTCGATTAGATTACAAAAGGAGTTAACCACCCCTTTCAATTCGATCAAAATTTCAATCGGATCGAGCTCAATCGGATCGATTAAGGTGTTTACACAGGTTTTTTAGTCCGATTGAGCCGTCAATCCGATTATAAGTGTCCATGTAAACGCAGCTATTGTAATGCAGGCATCTGAAAAGAATTGAGTCTTTCATTGAGTTGATCAGCGAGTTTTCTGTATAACCGCTAAACAGTCACACAACACCAACCACATTTCCTTCTTAGGAAAGAGAATAAGAGGTTCTTAAGAAACCATTTGAGAACTTCTTGAGTATTTTTTCAAGAATGGCTTATATGAACCTCTTGGAATGTTTCTTAAAATATGTTTTAACATGTTCGTGAATCGTTCTGGTCCTAAGGTTATTGTCCCCAGTATACTGTATGTATATGATTGGGCAGTCAGTATTGCGACCTCAACGAGGAGGATAATAATTTGGTCCAAATTCAGCAGAACATCAAGGATCCTGCAGTGGACAAACGTATATTAAAGGTAGTCTATTAAAAATTATGATCAAATATTTGAAATATCATACTGATTATGGACACTCCTTAACAAAGTTCATTTAAAAAAAAAATAAGAGAGTATCTACTTTTTATGTACTTATTGGAAATATTTAACAAAATTAGGTCTATATAGCTAAGGACACTGACAAGTATACAGAAAAGAAAACGTATAGTCAACAAGCAGCTTTGAGGTGGAACTGCTCCCTTATAGGCTATAGTTAAAGTTCATTTTATTATGTAAAACAGGGGGTTTTGTTCAAATGCCATTTATGAGATTCTTAGATAATCACTGTGTCATAACCATTTGATTTTTTACTTGAATATATGTTATTACATTTACATAAATTAACTTATACCCTTTTTTTTTTGGATAAGGGCTCAGTGTATCACAATTACTGGGATTCAGAAGGAAAATAATATGGTTTAGAGAAAATAATGACAGAGATGAGATGAAATGAACTGAACAACGACACAGCATTTAATAATGCATCATTACAGTAGTTACAAAGATGCATGATTTAAATTCTTAAGTTAACATTCTTAAGTGACAGTACTCTTGGAAAAACAAATGTCCACCACTTGCTTCACTTTTAACTCATTAAGAAAGCAAAATATGCGGTGCTTCAAACATGGCAGCAATGAGCTGAAGGACTTCCTCATTACAACAACCTCAGACATTTACGATCTGATCATTGCCAAGAATCTTGCGGTCCAGCTCAAAATGTAGAAGGTTATGTGTTCAGAGCGAAGGCACAAGACAAGCTCTTCCAAGCCCAAACAGGGTCCAGGATCACATCGGGGTGAGCCATTTAACACCAGATTTGGGAAAATTCACCAGTTCCTTCCCTCGGGTCATTGAGGACTTCTGTCGCACTTGAACCACGAATACACACAAAAAAATGAACGGATTCGAGGAGTTTTGTGGGTGAAATTAAAAAAAGTAACAAATCCTTCAATTTGACCCCCATGCTTCAGTAGACATAGAAAAACCTAAAAATGCTCAAAATCCAAACTGAAAATGATAAAAACTTTACCAAAAAAATATTGTATTATGTCTACATGTGTATCTGAATGCATACTGAAGAAAAAACTGACTTTAGGATCCAGCAGAAACAGCTCATTTGCTCCATATATAGAGCTATAAGGCCATCTAGTGGCAAGAGTCGTGAAATATCATGTTATTTTATGTTATATTTTCCACTAGAGGTCTGTAAAGACACCCAATGTAAGATATTTTGAGCTGAATTAAAATGGTTATGCATGTAAGTGTGAGTTATTTTTAATTTATGTTGAAAGAATGTGAGGAATGTGCTGAAATTACTGTTTATTTATTATGTATTGATCAAATCTAGTAATTTAAAGGTAAATAAAATAAAAATTGCTTTAAAAAATATTAACAAAATTAAATAAGCTTTTCTGGACAAAACAAAAAGTATAATTTTAGGACTTCGGGTGATTTTGAACAAAAGAGCGCCTGATGGTGTCAGAAGAAATGAGGATGGTTTATATTAAAGGAGTAAATGATGGAGATCAGCATGAGTAGGTGTATATATATATATATCTATATATATATCTATATATATATATATATATATATATGGTAATGTGAGTGCGTTTTTTTGAAGTCTTGCTCACTCAGCCCAGAATCTCTTTGTGATGGTGATTTGAGAATCAGTGAAAAATGTGAAAAAGCAACATCTTTCCAAACATTCATGAACCTCTTGTCTGGCAAAACACAACATTTAATAACATGTTTTCAGAGGTGTAAAGTCCAGGTTCAGAAAGTAGCCTAAAAGTCCTCCTCACAGTCAGACCGGGAATATTTTATAATGAGCGGTTCATTCATAAATCTGTATTTTAACGCCTCTTTAAATAGGATATGAAATACGCTTTGGGATAACATGACAACAAGGAGTCCATGGATGGACCCAAAAATGTTTCAGAAAGTTTGTAGATGAAGTATGCTATGCTATCCGTGATGAAGGCTACATAAATCACAACAATTTCGTGCTATTCATAGCCTACTACAGGCAGCGGAAGGTGTTTTACGCTATTTGCTTCAGCTTTTCAAACGCGAAAGTGCGATAAACACTGATCTCATCAAGGCGATACATTTTCTATTATTGATCAATCCATAAAGGCTTACGTTGTAGCCTACACGTCACGTACAAAATCGTTTAAACGACATAACATCTCGTTATTTGTTTTTTGTTTTGTTTTTGTTTGTTTTCCCGATTTGTATATATTGCAATTCTGACTGTACATTGACTGTTTGTTTGAAGTGCATTACAAAAAAAAAAAAAAAAAAAAAAAAAAACATTTCGTTATTACGACATAATTGCGTAGAAAAATAATAATATGTAGCCTATGTGCCAGCAGTGCGCCAGCCACGTTGGCTTAACTTGTTAATATTTATTAGGTGATGGTAAAGTTTATGGAGGACCAATAATAAATAAATACATTTATAAATAAATAAATGTAGATGTAAATGCATATATACATAAATAAAAGTGGAAATAAATAAAAGTGGAAATAAATAAATGCATAAATAAATAAATGAAAAAAATAAATAAATGTGGGAAAATATATAATTATACATAAATAGGGAAATAAAAGTATAAATAGTCTTTTTTTTTTTTTTTACATTTCTTCGCGTATTTATTTATTTATTCATTTTTAATTTTTATAAGTTTGGTCCTCCTTAAAAGTTGCTCGGTAACATCCTTCAATGGTAAAAAAAAAAAAAAAAAAAAAAAATCCCTCCAATGGTGCAGCTCTGCTCATGAATATAGAGAAGAAAAGCCTTCAGCATAGTAGACTCGTGGATTTGAGCGCGTGCGTGAACAAGTGAAACCTCATGAAAACACGGACACAATGGCGGGAGTGAAGATCAAGTTCAATGGTTAATGTTAACGGTTATATGACCACTCTTTAACCAGCCGTGAATTAAAGTTCACATCGAAGCTTCACAACCCTCGCTGGAGCTTGAAGTGCACATGTGAGTCGACTCGGACGCACTTTGATACACTATTATTACATTGTTACTACTGTTATCCGAACACTATGCGTGTTGACTTGATTTGTTGCTGACTAATAGATTATGTGTGCGTGTGTTTTGCAGGCCAACATGTCCTTAACACGAGTGTTGAAGAGACTGAGTGTATCTGTGCTCTGGAAACAAGGTTTGAAGAGTCTGGGAGGAAGACTACAGCACACTGATGCTCAGTCATCTGCATTCAACTATCAGCTGCTGTCTGACTGCCTGGGTGAGAGAGAGAGAGAGAGAGAGAGAGAGAGAGAGAGAGAGAGAGAGAGAGAGAGAGAGAGAGAGAGAGAGATGAGTAGTAGCCTACATTGAGTCTTGCATTTCAAATAACTAAATTTGTATACAGTTATTGTCATCAATTTGAAATGTGCAACACTTTACCATAAGATAACTGCATTGAACTCACAATGAAAATACTTAGCGGTAACACTTTACAATAAGCTTCATTAGCTAAAATTAGTTAATGTATATTAACTAACATGAACCAACCTTGAGCAATATATTTGTTACAGTATTTAATAATCTTTGTTAGTGTTAAAAATCCAGCTGTTCATTGTTTGTTCATGTTAGTTCACAGTGCATTTACTAATGTTAACAAATACAAAACCTTTTGTATTTTAAAAAACGTATTAGTAAATGTTGAAATTAATATTAACTGAGATTAATAAATGCTGAAGAAGTTTTGTTCATTCTTAGTTCATGTTAACTAATAAACCTTATTGTAAAGTGTTACCAACTACGCTCACGTTAATTTCAGCATTCACTAATACATTATTAAAATCAATAGTTGTGTCTGTTAATATTGCATAACTAATAAATTAATTTAATTAAACAATGTTTACAAAGATGAATAAAGACTGTAAAACATGTTTTGTTAGTGATAGTTAATGCACAGACTAACATTAACTAAAGGGATCTTTTTGCGAAGCGAAACTCGAAACGTGTGGAACTGCCAAGCATCAAGATCAATCATTTTGTAATTCAACTAAATAATCAGATACATAAACTATTTCATTATACACTAGAGCTCAAACAAGTTTTTTTTTAAATTCATTGACTGATAAAGATATCTTGAGAACAATGGCCACTATAATGTCAGTTCATGTAATACAATTGAATGATAGCAAACAAAAATGTTTCAATGTAATACTTACACAATTTAAAAAAAAATCACTAAAAATGTTGATTAATCTGCCTATCAATACCTTATCCACATTATTCACACTGATATATATGTTGCATCGTTATAGAATGTTATGTTTGCTATCATAATCAGTTGTTAACAAGTGTAATTATTCATATATACTGTATATATAATTCTGCAGAGCTCAACTATGGTGGTCTTGTAATGCACTTCGACTATGTTTGGCTGAGAGATCACTGCCGTTCAGCTTCATGCTACAACTCAAAGACCAACCAGCGTAACCTGGACACGGCCGGCATCGACCTGGACATCCGGCCCTCAAAGAGCCGAGCCGACGAACACCAGCTGTTCCTGACCTGTGAGTGCAGAACGCAGTCTCATCTCACTCAACACAGGGATACTTCGGCACTGTAAAACATAAACCGTAGTTTTTACAGTAAAAAAACGGCAGCTGTGATTGCCAGAACTTTACCGTCAAAAATACGGTAGCAACTTTATTGGTTTTACAGGCTTAACTTAAAATTTACTGTAATAAACCATATTTCATTATCTGATACAAGGTTAATTTACTGACCTATTGAAGTATTAATATCTGTTTTGTATCATTGTGATAAGCCCCTCCCCTCCGCTTCCGGCTCATGGGACCTTATTTAGGAAAAAATATGTATGGTAGTCAATGGCGAGAGACAACTTATCTCGTTAGTCCGTCTGAACTGTGCCCTGAATTACACATGTGATGTTTGTCAATTTAAAAGATAAGAATGAAAGTCAAGAAAGTCAATGAACTACATCTCCCGGGAAGAGAAACAACGAGCGAGATCCACTGCTGGTGTGTGTGCAGTCTGGCACAAAACACTCAGGCATGACGGCGTAACGTTACGATTATAACGCAAGACTATAGAAACAATGACAGAAGTTAGCTTCAGTAAAGTTAGCTTCAGTAAAGTTAGCTTCAGTAAAGTTAGCTTCAGTAAGGTTAGCTTCAGTAAAGTTAGCTTAAGTAAAGTTAGCTTCAGTAAAGCTTCAGTAAAGTTAGCTTCAGTAAAGTTAGCTTCAGTAAAGTTAGCTTCAATAAAGTTAGCTTCAGTAAAGTCAGCTTCAGTAAAGTTACCCTAGCTTCAGTAAAGTTAGCTTCAGTAAAGTTACCGTAGCTTCAGTAAAGTTAGCTTCAGTAAAGTCAGCTTCAGTAAAGTCAGCTTCAGTAAAGTTAGCTTCAGTAAAGTTAGCTTCAGTAAAGTCAGCTTCAGTAAAGTTAGCTTCAGTAAAGTTAGCTTCAGTAAAGTTACTGTAGCTTCAGTAAAGTTAGCTTCAGTAAAGTTAGCTTCAGTAAAGTTACCGTAGCTTCAGTAAAGTTAGTTTCAGTAAAGTTAGGGTGTATTCACACCAGGAAAGTCCGATAGTTCACTTGCTTTGGTCCGGACCAAAACATTTTTATTTATTTTTTTGGTATGGTTCGCTTTCACACTGCTCTTTTAACCAAAATTTGTAAACAAAACCACACGTGTGCTAAGGTCGTCCAAGGATCCTCAAGTAGGGAAATCAGGAAGTGCAAAAAAGGCTTCACGTAAATTAACGCAGCATCATCCTTGTATTGTAACTATCGTTACATTACATGAACTGCAAATGCTTTTTTTTTTTTGCATCTATGCACGATTAGACTAAAGAGAACGCTCTGTATGTGAATGTCCTGATGCACACACTCATTCATTCATTCCATTCCAATGATGCACACACGACGAGCAGAAAGACGCGCTACAGATGTAATGTAGTAGCCTAGGCTATAACAGATCACTTTCCCATAACGCAACTCCGACTACGGAAGCCTGTTAACTCAAAGGCGCAGTGCTTTCTTGCAATTGGGTCGGTTCATGTTCACACCGTAAACGAACCGTACCAGAGTTCGTTTGGAACCGTACCGAGACCACCTCTTCAGCTGGGTCTCGGTTCGGTTGTTTGGTCCGCACCCGAGTTCGATTGCTGTATTCACACCTGCCCAAAAGGTCCGCACCAAGGGGGGAAACGAACTAGAGTTCGATTCAATTGAACCAAACAAGGCAGGTGTGAATACACCCTAAGCTTTAGTAAAGTTACCGTAGCTTCAGTAAAGTTAGCTTCAGTAAAGTTAGCTTCAGTAAAGTTACCGTAGCTTCTGTAAAGTTAGCTTCAGTAAAGTTAGCTTCAGTAAAGTTAGCTTCAATAAAGTTAGCTTCAGTAAAGTTAGCTTCAGTAAAGTTAGCTTCAGTAAAGTTACCGTAGCTTCAGTAAAGTTACCGTAGCTTCAGTAAAGTTAGCTTCAAGTTTGCTTCAGTAAAGTTAGCTTCAGTAAAGTTACCGTAGCTTCTGTAAAGTTAGCTTCAGTAAAGTTAGCTTCAGTAAAGTTAGCTTCAATAAAGTTAGCTTCAGTAAAGTTAGCTTCAGTAAAGTTACCGTAGCTTCAGTAAAGTTACCGTAGCTTCAGTAAAGTTAGCTTCAGTAAAGTTAGCTTCAGTAAAGTTAGCTTCAGTAAAGTTTGCTTCAGTAAAGTTACCGTTGCTTCAGTAAAGTTAGCTTCAGTAAAGTTAGCTTCAGTAAAGTTAGCTTCAGTAAAGTTACCGTAGCTTCAGTAAAGTTAGCTTCAGTAAAGTTAGCTTCAGTAAAGTCAGCTTCAGTAAAGTTAGCTTCAGTAAAGTCAGCTTCAGTAAAGTCAGCTTCAGTAAAGTTAGCTTCAGTAAAGTTAGCTTCAGTAAAGTTAGCTTCAGTAAAGTTAGCTTCAGTAAAGTCAGCTTCAGTAAAGTCAGCTTCAGTAAAGTTAGCTTCAGTAAAGTTAGCTTCAGTAAAGTTAGCTTCACTAAAGTTAGCTTCAGTAAAGTCAGCTTCAGTAAAGTCAGCTTCAGTAAAGTTAGCTTCAGTAAAGTTAGCTTCAGTAAAGTTAGCTTCAGTAAAGTTAGCTTCAGTAAAGTCAGCTTCAGTAAAGTCAGCTTCAGTAAAGTTAGCTTCAGTAAAGTTAGCTTCAGTAAAGTTAGCTTCAGTAAAGTTAGCTTCAGTAAAGTTAGCTTCAGTAAAGTTAGCTTCACTAAAGTTAGCTTCAGTAAAGTCAGCTTCAGTAAAGTCAGCTTCAGTAAAGTCAGCTTCAGTAAAGTCAGCTTCAGTAAAGTTAGCTTCAGTAAAGTTAGCTTCAGTAAAGTTAGCTTCAGTAAAGTCAGCTTCAGTAAAGTCAGCTTCAGTAAAGTTAGCTTCAGTAAAGTCAGCTTCAGTAAAGTTAGCTTCAGTAAAGTTAGCTTCAGTAAAGTCAGCTTCAGTAAAGTCAGCTTCAGTAAAGTCAGCTTCAGTAAAGTCAGCTTCAGTAAAGTTAGCTTCAGTAAAGTCAGCTTCAGTAAAGTTAGCTTCAGTAAAGTCAGCTTCAGTAAAGTCAGCATCAGTAAAGTCAGCTTCAGTAAAGTCAGCTTCAGTAAAGTTAGCTTCAGTAAAGTCAGCTTCAGTAAAGTTAGCTTCAGTAAAGTCAGCTTCAGTAAGGTTAGCTTCAGTAAAGTTAGCTTCAGTAAAGTTAGCTTCAGTAAAGTCAGCTTCATTCATTGAGAGAAAATGTGCGCCTTTGGGGTTTGTAGTCTTTTTAATTACGTATTTTCACAGTCTTATACCTCAACATTTTTACATCAAACTGCGACTTTCTTGACTTTAAAATGTATCTTTTAAATTGACAAACATCATATGTGTAATCAGATCTATCACAGTTATTTACCGTATATAGTAAGGAAACTTTCTGTTAACCAATTAACGTTTTTTCACTGTAGCATTTTAACCGTCTTTTACCGTTAAAATCACGATCATTTTTTACAGTGTGGCATTATTTACTCTCCCTCATAATCTCAAGCTCCAAAAAGAGCTAAAAAAATAAAATGATCGTGATATTAACGGTAAAAGACTGTAAAAATGCTACAGTGAAAAAATGTTAATTGGTTAACAGAAAGTTTCCGTACTATATACACATGAAAAAGAACAAGTCATTCTATAGTTCACATTGAAACTATTTTCACAATTCCCTGCGTGACACTTCACATTTGATGTGTTTTTGTTGAAATAACTGTTTCTTCATAGTTTTCCTTCGTTTTTTTTCTAATCAGTTACGTACATCAGGGTTTTATGTTACATTTAATGTTGTTGAATTAATGTTTTAAAATGTCATGTGTGTTACCATGATGGTGTTTAGTGTGTGTGTGAATGAAACTGTACAGCTTCTGTATATTACTATTAACTATCTTGAGGGAAAGCTGCTTGTGATGAGCTGTGATTGATCATGTGACTCTCAACACCACTGTGATTGGTTGTTGTCAGTGTATTACAATAGTTCAAGACAGATATTAGTACTTCAACAATATATCAGATAATGAAATATGTTATTTTTTTACTGTAAATTTAAGTTAAGTCTGTAAAACCAAAAATGTTGCTACCGTATTTTTTACGGTAAATTTCTGGCAACCTCAGCCAGATTTTTTTTTCCCGTATTTGATTTTTTTTTTTACCGTAAATTTACGGTAAAAAAAACGGCAGCTGAGTTTGCCAGATTTTTTTTAACCGTATTTAAGTTTTTTTTACCGTAAATTTACGGTAAAAAAAAACGGCAGCTGAGGTTGCCAGATTTTTTTTTAACCGTATTTAAGTTTTTTTTTTACCGTAAATTTACGGTAAAAAAAAAACCGTCAGCTGAGGTTGCCAGAATTTTTTTACCGTATTTACGTTATTTTTTACCGTAAATTTACGGTAAAAAAAACGGCCGCTGAGGTTGCCAGAAATTTACCGTAGAAAATACGGTAGCAACATTTTAAGTTTTACAGACTTAACTTAAATTTACAGTAAAAAAAAACAACATATTTCATTATCTGATATATTGTTTTAACATTTGTTTTAACAGTGCAGTATAAGTGTCATGTTTATACGAGAGCTTTGTGTGGGGAAGCTGTTATTCACTGATAATCTTATCCTTGGCCAAATCTCTGATCCGTTCTCGCCAGGTTTGATGTGAAAGATGCCAAGTATATCTTTACTGACAAATATGGATTAGTGAAATGTTTGTTGTTGTTTTCTGGAGCTTGACAGACATGTGAGCTGTTGTTGAAAAGATCCGTTTTTGTTTAACTAACCATTTAATATTGAGATTTTTATCATTGGTTGTTGTTCCACATTTATTTATTCACACTCATTTCCTGGTAAACATCCTGGTTTTCAAAACCAAACCAATTTTTGAATTAAAATGGCACCTTTACATAACGTGCACTGTTTTACGCAGGATTGCTTAATATTGGGATAGGAAGATGAACCAACTTGACCCGTGTCTTCATGTTTCAATCCTGTCCTCAGAGATTGTGGTCTTATTGTGCTTAGATAAGTTTAACACTCTTCCCAAACAAAGATGGATATCTCTTTCCTAAGTAAAGATAAGGCTCTGCGAGAGTCAGAACTTTGACTCTTACGAGACGCAGCAGATCATCTGTGAGATTCACTTTAAAGGGGTCATATAATGGTACATGCACTTTCTCAAGTTGATTGAAATGTGTGTTGGCAGTGCCTGTACACAACCATCATATAATGATTAAAATCCATCCAGTGTTTTTGTTTTAATCTCCTTATATGTTTTCCCCAGTCTCAAATCGAGCTGTTCATGACCGTCTGACGTCAGAAACACCAGCGATTTCAAACCGTGTTTTTGAGACTGTCTTTGGTTCACTGCAGTTTTAAGCAGAAAATACTCAGCAATGCTGTCGACTTATGAACTTACACATGGTTCGTTTTAAAGCATATTAAACACACCACATAGACACATAAACAACATTAAAACTTGATTTTCACCACAGGGGAACTTTTTAAGCTTTTTTTTTTTTTTTGGACAAAGCAGAAATTATACGCTTGTCATTTCATAAAAGCCCTTAACGTGAATTCTTCTGTGAACGCTTGTGTATAATTTGTGTTGTAAAGCTGATTAAATAATAATTTTTACAGTTACAGTTCAGGGTTTATAGTGTTGTGTTGTCATGGCGATGAAGTTGTAAAATTGGATATATAACCTTACATAGGAAAGGTTAGTAAGCAATTTTTTTTCACAGTCATATTGTTGGCTATAGGGTTGATCACATGGTTTAAAACTTTACACACATGCATGACGAAACTTAGTGTATTTACTAGTTGCCCATATCAACACTACATAGAGAAAAATTGCACCAAAATTCATGAACATTTATTTAACCAAAGCAAAGTAAATTTTTCATCTCTTTTTTGTGTGTGTTTATTTTAAAATGAGACTTTATTATTTTAATCTTATATGTGTTATTTAACAGTTGAGAGAGTTATTTATTGCTGATCTAACCTGCAGAAACACTCGCCGGGTTTAAACCCCAGTTGCGCAGGCGGGGCATGTTGTCACACGGCGTTACAATGAGCCCCTATTAGAACTATGATATTCTATTCTATACGTTTATCAATTCTATTGAGAAACCATGAGAAAAAGGTGAATAATAAAGACTGAGAGTCAATGTTCAGAAATTATTAATTATTATTATGTTTTGAATAGGGCTGCACGATTTGAGGAAAATGTCATATTGCGATTAATGAGGTCAATATTGCGATTGCGATTGCGATATAATAAACAAATGGTTTCATGAGTCAACTTGCTTGGTTCTAAAGTAAAATGCACACACAGATTAGTGATCATTCTGTGTATTAATGTGTATTTCTCAACTCAAACTAGCAACAACAACTAAATGATTGATAACACCTATAATGATAAATAAACCATTGATGTCTGGATAAAAATGACGACACCCCCCACATTTTAAACGTTAATTATAGCCATCCAACATTACAGTGATTCCATCAATACAATTGAAAGCTATCAACTTTTACAATATTTATTTATTAGGCTTAAAAAAAATAACAGCTTTTAAATTAAGTGAACTTCAAACAATCCTCACATAAACCCATAATAAATGCCATATTTACCTGTGCCCTTCCTGTCTCAACAGGTAGGATTGAGGATTTATATACAGATTTATATACAGAAATTGAATTAAGTTATCAAACGGTCTGCGCTGCATGAATTATAAATTATATATAGACTAATCCTTATTAAAGCTACAAAACTTCTTTAGTCAAGAGCAGTGAGTAATTTTCGGTTCCCTTTGTTCTTTGATTAACTTTACTGACGGAACACTGTATTCGCTGCTGGCCCTTTAAGAGCAGCCGTTGCCGAGACGCGGATCTCTCACGCGCCTCATTCTCTCACAAGCACAACTCTTTTCGTCCATCATAACTGCTCTTATGTTATGAAGATAATCGACAAAACGACATTTTGGCATAATTGTGTGTGTTATTGTTCGTTCAAGCTCGAAAGAGAACTGTATTCTGGCACGCGGTCTGTGCATGCGCATTATACTGGCGCGCGTTATTCTGTGAGTCACATTCAGGACATTCACAGGCAGCGCGCTCTCTTTTGACTTCTTGTCGTGCAAAATGGTTTTAAGGCATTTGCACGAAGAGCGGGATCATGTAACACTAGTCAAAGGATGACAAAAAAGAAGAGATGCTGCGTTAATTGCCCTAATTTGTTTATTTCATATAAAATCGCGGCATTTTGCGTTATATAATCGCATAGGTTTGACATCGCGATTACGATTGCGATACGATTAATCGTGCAGCACTAGTTTTGAACTATGCTGTATAGCTGTGTTTGTTGTCAAACTCAAAAATGTGTTTATTTTTAATTATTAAAAAATTCCATCATTTTATATGAAAAAGCTAATAATTGTATTTTATTGAGAAAATATGTCAGTTTGTCTTGTATATATTTGTTTATTAGATCAGATAACATTTTAATCTGTCATTTGGTCACCTGTGGGGCAATCAAGAAAAAAGTATACACTGTAGGCCTATTAATGAAACAAAACCACATAATTGTACTAGACGTGCGAAATTAATGTGGAAAAAAAAAAAATACTCTGAACCCTACGTAGATTTACACAAACTGAGAAAGTCAGAAAGCGTTTTGTGCCTCGCTCTTCCTTACTACTGAAACTGAGTGTTTTAACATTTACAAATGGGTCCTATTCAGTTCTATTGTATGTGCCCGTCTATAACCCAGCCTTTTGCTTTTTAAATGAAAAATAGGGGCAAGTGGAAATGTATTTCTGTAGTAATCAACATTATGCCACTGAATTGCGAATATTCCTTTAACGGTTCAGATATCCTGATGTGCACGTCACTGCACTAGTAGCGTTCTCCACTGGTAAACACTGATGAAGTCTGGACTCATATGTTATCTTCTAATGGAACTTGATAACAATCTGATTTCTGATAACGCGTCCTGAATCTTAATCACACACTGTTCGTTCGTTGGCCAGAGGAGAACTGAGCGACTGAGTCTGGCTTCTCACCAGGGTTTTCTCTCCATTCTGTCACTGATGGAGTTTGGTTTTTCGCCTTTTTTCGCCATTGGCTTTTGTCGTGGTTAGTTGGCGCATTGGCGCACTTTTGTCGTGGTTAGTTGGCGCATTGGCGCACTTTTGTCGTGGTTAGTTGGCGCATTGGCGCACTTTTGTCGTGGTTAGTTGGCGCATTGGCGCACTTTTGTCGTGGTTAGTTGGCGCATTGGCGCACTTTTGTCGTGGTTAGTTGGCGCATTGGCGCACTTTTGTCGTGGTTAGTTGGCGCAGTGTGGTTTGGGCCTCTCAGCTCATTTGAAGGCCAGGATTCTTCGGCTCCTGGGAATCTGTTCCAAATTGGTGGGACACTCAGTGGAGAAGGCGTTCACTGAAAGCCATGTACTGCATACTGTTAGGCTGGCTTACAAAATCTCCCAAGATACTTCCCATGTGTTGCATCAGGAGTATCAACTCCTGCCCTCCGGGAGGCGCTATAGGGTCCCAGAATGAACAAATATAAACACTCATTTGTTCCTAGTTTGTCAATATCGCTGCTGAATCAACACAGGAGAGTAAAGAAGGGATAGTCCCCCACACACTTGCACTATATATTTATGGCTATTGAAGACCACTCTTGCAGGGCGGAGCCCCCATAATATTAATTAAGTATCTATTTATGTTTTTTATTGATGACTCTATGTTTTTAGCTCTTTTAGGTTGTGTGTTGTAATTGTTGGAGCTTGTATCGCAAGACAAATTTCCGTGTACACGGACAATAAAGTGCTGTCTATCTATCTATCTATCTATCTATCTATCTATCTATCTATCTATCTATCTATCTATCTATCTATCTATCTATCTATCTGTCTGTCTGTCTGTCTGTCTGTCTGTCTGTCTGTCTGTCTGTCTGTCTGTCTGTCTGTCTATCTATCTATCTATCTATCTATCTATCTATCTATCTATCATCTGTTTAATTTAATATTCAACAATATTATTGATCTCCTGCATTGACACCATTATATGAGAACTGAAGTGAGCTGGACGATGACATCACTGTTTTCTCCAGAGCGGCTCTATATATATATAAATGAACTAAATTAATAACTTTAACTACAAAAAAGAACCATCACTGAACTTACTTAAGCTGTGACTGTGACGCTATTTTCTTCTAGAAACTTTCTTCTTTGTTGCATTATTTTCCTGCTATCTCTGTAAAGCTGCTTTGAAACACGCTGTATTGTAAAGCGCTGTATAAATAAAGGGGACTCGACTTGATGCTGTGTTTCGTGACCCCCTCCAGGGCCAGATGGTCATGTGACGCGCTACGGCCTAGCATGGCTAGCGCAGAACAGCTACGAGGGCCAGAAGAGAAGTGCCATGCAACCGCGTGTGCTGTGGGACGCTGATATCTACGCCAGCGCTCGGGCTCCCAGTGCATGCTGGGAGAAGTTCATGAGCTGCGACGAGGAGCTGAAGATCTTCCTCAACTGCTTCTTGCTTTATGGAATAGCCTTCGTCGAAGGCGTCCCCCCGACCCTTGAAGCCACAGAAGCAGCGACCCGAAGAGTGAGCCTCATCAGGTCAGGCCTCGTGCGTTTCTGCTCCAACATGAATCGGTTTGATAGATCATATGTTTGATCATATGTAATCATTATTTACCCTAATGTCATACAACGTTTTTTTTCTTTTGCTGAAGACAACAGGACTATAGTGCAAAAGTCGCATTTGCTGCTTTTATGATGTTATGTTTTTTTTATTTAGAGATCCATTGATGTATCGGCCAATAATCAGTATCGGCCGATAAAAGCTATTATTTTCACTATCGGCCATTGACCAGTTGTTTAAAAGCAGCCGATGATCCTGGGGCCGGTTTCCCAAAGCTGTTTTAGACCGGTTCATAGTGTTAGGCAAGACTAAAACGTGCTCATAGACTAGTCTAATGCAAGTTAGACTGTTTCACAAAAATAAAGACTGACTTAATTTAGACCAAAAAAATTAGACACCCCCAGGCTAACTCAGGGCTGAGACTCTGTTACCGTGGCAACCAGCAGCAACAATCAGTTGCACTGCAAACAGCCGAAAGAAAAGGGAAAATGGCCGTTTCCATATATATCCATCACCATTTCAGTGTCTTTAAGCTTCTCTTGGGGTCCTCCTCCCGGTTTTGGATATTTCCAAATATTAAATATTTCTTTTTTGGCATCTTGTACTATGTTTTTGTATCTTTTCTGTACGTCTTTAACGCTCCGCTCAACACTCGGATTAACTGTCATAGCAATCTTTGTCCAAATTAAACATTTCTTCTTGTCTCTACATTCTCCGCTAAATTTCCCCAGTGAAATGTCCTTGTAACTGTTACACTCCTCCAACACACACATATCTCCCGCTGGGGTAAACTGCACTGAGCGGGTGAATGCGCTTACTCCATCCGCCATGTTTTTTTTTGTTTTTGAAAACTGTCTTATTTTACCCAGAATACTTTGCAGTGTAGTCCTACTTAAGATAGTCAGAGTCTGAAGTGTTTTGTGCAACGGTCTATCTGAAGTCTGACTCTCTACTATATCTAAGCCGTAGTCAAAGTCTATCTTTGTGAAACCGGCCCCTGGGCCGATTATATTCTGTCAATCAAAGAAAGTCGAAAAGAGAGAAGAAACACAAGAGAGAAGAAAGTCTCTCTTGTGTTGAATTTAGGGCAAGTTAGCGCGACAATAACGTGTTAACAGTTAGAAATAGCTACATAAAAGCTTTATTTGACCCTATAAATCTAGTCAGGGTTGCCAGGTCCACGGTTTTTCCTTACACCAAACATTGGGGCTGTTAAACTTTACATGACACCGTTTTACAACTAAAAACGTAAAACTTTTGGCCGTTCGTTTACACGACAACGCCGTTAGGGCGCCTGAAAACGCAATGTTTTAAAAACGGGTGCAAGTTTTTGAAAACGGTCCCTGTGTAAACAACAAAAACTCGAATATCTGAAGACGATGACGTCATGCACATGTTTATTACGTGTTCAATCTATAGTGTTTCATCGCCATCTTCTGGCCTGGCAGCAGAATAGTCGTTTTAGTCACAGGACCACCAATGCCCTACTGTTTCTAGTGTAAAATTTAGATAAATAGAGAATTGTTGCAGTGTAACAGGAACGAGGGGTCGTATGGCAGGCACTGCTAGAACCGTGTCACTTTTTCCCCTGAGATTTACAAAGCATCTGCAGAAAATGGAGGTCACAATAATAGTTTATTCGAATTAAAATGACTTAAATGAGGCACTTCTTTGTTTCCAGAGAGACCATGTATGGGCGGATGTGGAACTTCACTTCAGACTTTTCTCGTGGAGACACAGCCTACACAAAGCTGGCACTGGACCGCCACACCGATACCTCATACTTTCAAGAACCCTGCGGGTAAACAGGAGAATCAGAGTTGGCCTTCATTAGCCATGAGCGGCTTAACTCCTGACTGTCAGATCCAGTTTCCGTACAGCATGTGTAGTCGATCAGCAGGGGCTCAAATCCACATTCTCCCTGTTCTATTATAAGAGTAAACAGTGACCACTGAAGTAACTTTAGATTATAGTTAAAGGGGTGGTATAATGCCCTTTTCACAAGATGTAAAATAAGTGTCCCCAGAGTGTGTATGTGAAGTTTTTGCTCAAAATACCCCACAGATATTTTTATATAGCATGTTAAAGGGTTAGTTCACCCAAAAATGAAAATTATGTCATTAATGGCTCTCCCTCATGTCGTCCCAAGCCCGTCAGACCTCCGTTCATCTTCAGGACACAGTTTAAGATATTTTAGATTTAGTCCGAGAGCTTTCTGTCCCTCCATTGTAAATGTATGTACGGTATACTGTCCTTGTCCAGAAAGGAAATAAAGACATCATCAAAGTAGTCCATGTGACATCAGTGGGTTAGTTAGAGTGTGTTGAAGCATCGAAAATACATTTTGGTCCAAAAATAACCAAAACTAGGACTTTATTCAGCATTGTATTGTCTTCCGGTTCTGTTGTGGATCCGCGTTCAGTGCCGCTGCTGACGTAAGTCTTACGGGCTTGGGACGACATGAGGGAGAGTCATTAATGACATCATTTTCATTTTTGGGTGAACTAACCTTTTAAAGTTGTCACTTTTTGAGGGTGAGCAAAAACGCACCGTTTTTGTGTGTGTGTCCCTTTAAATGCAAATGAGCTGCTGCTCTCTGCGCAGGGGGCGGAGCTTCAAGAGCTTGTGTCCTTTTACCTCACACACACGCACTGAACATTTCTAAAACTTTTAGCCTTTTATGTTCAAACCGGAGTCAGAAATATGGAGAGACTCAAGAAGAAGTGACAACAGGACATTTCTAAATGGTTAGTTGATTAATTTATGTCCGAAATTTTCGCACGTTAAAAAATAAATACGACCTCACGTTGTGTCAATCACACTGCCTCCGAAACTTTCGTCCGTCATAAACAAAAAATTCGCATCGTGTTCGATTTTCAGTGTTTTTCGCATCCGTAACAAGCATTTGAATGGTGTTTTGACAATCCAGAGCCACTGAATGACGGACTCAGTGTGCAAGGGCCTGTAATCGAAGGTTGTTATGCCTTTTTCTGGTCCATAAGCATCCAGGTGTTTCACTGTCTGAGGCATGAAGGCACGGGGGGCCGGACTCTCCTGGTGGACGGTTTCCACGCCGCGGACGCGGTCCTCCAGCGGACGCCCGGGAACTTCGAGCTGCTGTCCCACGTGCCGATCAAACACGAGTACGTCGAGAACCTGAGCGAGCACCGCAACCACATGATCGGCATCGGGCCCGTGCTCAACGTGTATCCCTGGAACAACGAGGTCTACATGATTCGGTAAGACCTAGGCGTTTCTTTGTCGTCTTTGTAAATGCTTTCTTGACGTGTGAAACTTCTAATTAATTGAGTAAATAGACTTGGTATTGTCATGTCACATTCATTTGTAAAGCGCTTTTCATAATACACATTGTTTCAAAACAGCTTCACATAAAATCATGATTTAATTATTACTAATATCTTACTATCTTTAAGCCTTATTGTCACATATTTAATATAGTACAGTTGAGATTTGCTACATAGTATATGTTACCTTACGCGAGTATGCAGTGCTACTTTATAAAAACGAGTGACTTCTATGCTTTTTAATGTCAAGTTTTCTAATATTTGCATTGTTTTTTGTTTTTTCCCCCCCTCGCCTTCTCTGAGGAAACGTCCCTGTTATATATCCACTTTTCTATAAAGAGCTGGCCAATAATATAGTGGACATTTTTTAGGATTTAGGGAAGTTACAACCAGTGGATCTCTGAGCTGAGTGAGTGGAGGCGGGGCTAATTTGCATATTCATAGTACCACGCATACTAAATGAGGCAAGGGTGTCGAGTTACATTCAAGATATTTTAAGGCATGAAGAAATATTTTTCACAGGAAAAAATGCTTAAATAAGTAAAGTAAATAAAATTGACATTGACATTAAAGGTCCTTACAGCCAAAAATAGCAAAAGAACCAAAACCCACAACGACACTGACCAAGCAAATAAATATGGCAAGCAATAGGATAAAAACGACAAATTATGTCCTTGTTTTTTTTACCACAAAATTACATTTTATTATGTATGGATAATCACACACAAAGTAGAGATGCTTGGAGACGCACAGATTCAGGTAATTCACACACGCTTAATCTTTATTAGAAATTAATTCCACACACAAGGACAGAAAGCTGACAAATGTCTTGAAATACATCATCTAAACAATGTTGTGAGGTGTGGAAACCGTAGTAAAAGCAGAATAATGGAATAAATATGTCATTTTGGTGACCAAAGATGAGTTTTAATGGATAAAATGATTGACTACAGGGGGGCTTTAAATGGTAATTTCTCGCTAGAAATAACATCAAAAGTTGGTCAAAAAACGTAGGCCTACATTTACACAATTTTCAGACGCCATATGCATATAATTTTAGCTTTGCACTGTTGTATAAAATCAATAGGCTTCATGTTTGCAATTGTACTGTTGTTCGGGAAATCAGCACTCTATATCCTTTATAGTAGGCTTTATAAATATTAAAAACAAGCGCCATTTTTTTGCCCTTTTTGGGAGCATTGTTATTAATTTTGGTTGCATTTTTGCTCCAAGCCCCGTAAATATCTGACCCTGGTGTGTGTGTGTGTTCATGTGAAACGGCTGCTGACGTGGTGTGGTGTGTTGTTGTTCTGCAGGTATAATAACTATGACCGCTCTGTGATGAACACAGTGGCTCATGATGTGGTGCGGCGCTGGTACGCAGCTCACAGGGAGCTCACCGCAGAACTGAGGAGACCCGAGAACGAGCTGTGGGTCAAACTCAAGCCCGGCAAGGTATCAGCCTCCGCACGTGCTGGTGAACACTGTCTGAACACATGCCTGGCTCATATTTCACAACACAGAGTTTCCTCTGGGTGCATCTCTCAATCAGCTTCAAAAAATACTTTATGATAAATACTTTGATTGTTACTTATAATATGGGGCTTTTGAATGCTTGAATCTGATTGGTTGACAGATGTTCTAAGATGTGCAATTATTGCAATGGCCAATTGATTGCAGTTATTTAAAATGTCAGTGAACTAGCATATGGTCAATGATGAAATGTATTGTATTGTGTTTTGTTTTTATGGTTTTTCCTAATTTTATGTATTGTAAAGAACTTTATTAATGCCTGCAGAGCAGTGACGAGGACTTTAATTATGGATAGATGCACTTTTATGATGGATAGATGCACTTTTATGATTGATAGATGCACTTTTATCATGGATAGATGCACTTTTATGATGGATAGATGCACTTTTATCATGGATAGATGCACTTTAATGATGGATAGATGCACTTTTATGATGGATAGATGCACTTTTATCATGGATAGATGCACTTTAAGGATGGAAAGATGCACTTTTATGATGGATAGATGCACTTTAATGATGGATAGATGCACTTTTATCATGATAGATGCACTTTTATGATGGATAGATGCACTTTAAGGATGGAAAGATGCACTTTTATGATTGATAGATGCACTTTTATCATGGATAGATGCACTTTTATGATGGATAGATGCACTTTAAGGATGGAAAGATGCACTTTTATGATGGATAGATGCACTTTTATGATGGATAGATGCACTTTTATCATGGATAGATGCACTTTTATGATGGATAGATGCACTTTAAGGATGGAAAGATGTACTTTTATGATGGATAGATGCACTTTAAGAATGGAAAGATGCACTTTTATGATGGATAGATGCACTTTTATGATTGATAGATGCACTTTTATCATGGATAGATGCACTTTTATGATGGATAGATGCACTTTTATCATGGATAGATGCACTTTTATGATGGATAGATGCACTTTTATCATGGATAGATGCACTTTAAGGATGGCAAGATGCACTTTTATGATGGATAGATGCACTTTTATGATGGATAGATGCACTTTAAGGATGGAAAGATGCACTTTTATGATGGATAGATGCACTTTTATCATGGATAGATGCACTTTAAGGATGGCAAGATGCACTTTTATCATGGATAGATGCACTTTTATGATGGATAGATGCACTTTAAGGATGGAAAGATGCACTTTTATGATGGATAGATGCACTTTTATGATGGATAGATGCACTTTTACCATGGATAGATGCACTTTAAGGATGGCAAGATGCACTTTTATCATGGATAGATGCACTTTTATGATGGATAGATGCACTTTAAGGATGGAAAGATGCACTTTTATGATGGATAGATGCACTTTTATCATGGATAGATGCACTTTTATGATGGATAGATGCACTTTAAGGATGGAAAGATGCACTTTTATGATGGATAGATGCACTTTTATGATGGATAGATGCACTTTTATGATGGATAGATGCACTTTTATGATGGATAGATGCACTTTAAGGATGGAAAGATGCACTTTTATGATGGATAGATGCACTTTAAGGATGGAAAGATGCACTTTTATGATTGATAGATGCACTTTTATCATGGATAGATGCACTTTTATGATGGATAGATGCACTTTTATCATGGATAGATGCACTTTTATCATGGATAGATGCACTTTAATGATGAATAGATGCACTTTAAGGATGGAAATATGCACTTTTATCATGGATAGATGCACTTTTATCATGGATAGATGCACTTTTATGATGGATAAATGCACTTTTATCATGGATAGATGCACTTTTATGATGGATAGATGCACTTTTATGATGGATAGATGCACTTTTATCATGGATAGATGCACTTTTATCATGGATAGATGCACTTTAATGATGGATAGATGCACTTTAAGGATGGAAAGATGCACTTTTATCATGGATAGATGCACTTTTATGATAGATAGATGCACTTTTATCATGGATAGATGCACTTTTATGATGGATAGATGCACTTTTATCATGGATAGATGCAATTTTATCATGGATAGATGCACTTTAATGATGGATAGATGCACTTTTATGATGGATAGATGCACTTTAATGATGGAGAGATGCAATTTTATAATGGATAGATGAACTTTTATGGACTTAAAAACAGAAACCGGCCATTCACTGCCATTATAAATCTCAGAAGGACATTTTTTAATATATTCGTCTGAAAGGAGAATGTCATATACACCTAGGATGACTTGAGGGTGAGTAAATCATGGGCTGATTTTCATTTTTGGGTGAACTATCACTTTAATATATCCCTGATCAGTGCCTTCTGTGAACTAGGACGCTGATTGAGACTCTGTTCCTGAAGGCGGCAACTAAAATTTAGTTTGAAATGCATGCAATGCAGATGTAAATGAATATGTGAATGGAATTGCATAATTTCGGGCACATGTAAATGACGTGCATATTGGATGTATGATTGATGTAAATCAGTGCATGTAAACACAGCTCCTGTTGTTTTGTCCCAGGTTCTGTTCATCGATAACTGGCGTGTTCTGCACGGCAGAGAGTCGTTCACGGGCCTGAGGCAGCTGTGCGGATGCTATCTGACCCGGGACGATGTGCTGAACACGGCCCGCTCTCTGGGACTCCACGCCTGAATGCTCGACTACCCCGAGGACACCAGTTTATAACGACAGCAGAGGACAGCTGATTTACAGCAGGATCACAACAACTCTTTGAAATGCCATTAACCTATGATTATGGCAGCAAGGATATGAAGACTTCACTTAACTCTCGATTTTTATATATGTATAAGAATTGATCCGTCTCTCTATCTGTACACATTTAACAATCAACTCTTTGTTTGAATGATTTCACTATTTTAATTAAATTAGTTTTTTGTAGTGGATGATGTATCTTTTTGATCCAAAATGCTTTCTTTCCACAGAAAACCAGATAGTTGTAATCAAAGGTGATGTATGGAAAAAAATGTTTTTTTTTTGGCCGTACTAAAGCATAAAAATACCATGATGTGTTTGCTTTACAGATATTTAGGAAACAAGTTCACATACTTTTTTTTAATTATTAATGCAGAATGTACATAACAAAACAGGGAAGGAACAATCAACAATGTAAGACACTTCCATTGAGACTAACACAGAGTTTGAATCTGAAAAAGCAAGAAAAGAAAAAGGAGTCAGGGGGAAGACAAACAGGTAGCCGATATAGACATCAAAGAAAAATATATTTTAATGTTTTGACAGTGAGAAACATTTTTTTTTAAACAACTCTGAAACATTTTATCAGACTCCCATAGAAATATACTAAAGGAGGGCTTACACAAGTTCACATACTTGTTTCTCTGAAAAACAACACTACAGCCAGTTACTCTGCTTTGAAATGTGGTTCCGTGTCGGAGTGTCTGATTTGTTTTGGTTTGTGTGACTCCGCCCACTGCCAATTTACCCAATAGTATTTTTTCGACACCGGGGTTGCCAGTTGGCGGGAAACTCCGAAGTTTGTGGGAAGCAGCGAACGAACTGGGTCAGAGATCACATTCTACACGACCTTATAATCCTCGAAACCCATCTAAACACTTATATGATGATCAGAGGCAGGGGCGGATCTAGAAAAATATTTATGGGGTGGCAAGAGGGGGGCAGGAATTTTTGAGGGGTGGCAACATGGCAGACGTATATGTACTTAATTTAATTTGTGAGTACAGGGCTGGACTGGGACAAAAAATCGGCCCGGGCATTTTGGCCCAGACTGGCCCACTACATATAATCATAAACACAACCGAATGTATACCAACTCCTATAAAAACCACTGAGTTAGAGTTAATAGATGAAATAACTACTAAGTTGAACTATACTCCACAGTGATGAATCCTAAAACAAGCTATAAGCTGCATTGGGATAGCAATACCGTTTTTTCCCATAGGATTTTGGTAAATCTGTGGTGAGTGCAGAGTGCACCTCTGTCCCTCTAGGGGGGTTCGGGGGCATGCTCCCCCGTAAGAAAATTTTGTGCTTTTTAATGTTAAATTCATCAATCTGGTGCACTTTGAGAGTTCAAAATAAAGAGCTCCAACCCATATGCAGTGTGCAAATTGAACAAAGAAAAACTCAAAACTCTTTTTAGTTGTGATAGTGTCTGTCTACATTACACTACTATATAATAATAGTTATAATATTATGGCCAGTCCAGCCCTGTGCTGTGTGAGTATAAAGGCAGGGGTGCGTTTAACTTTTGGAGCCAAGGTGTGCCGACCTTTTTCCCTTTTTTATATATAGGCTATTATTTTGTTGAGCACCCAACAAGAATCAATTTATAGAATCAATTATATCATTTAAATACTTCTAAGATCCATATTACTATCACACGAGCCAATGGCAATTAAATGCACGGATGCATAACGTTAGTCAGATTAATGAATGAAATACAACTGTTCACGAACAGAAGATTGTATTGGACTCATGCTGCATACATACGCAATGACAATTATGCCTACTGTAAATATAGAGTTACAACTACGATTAGAGTTGTTAAATAAAATACCCTGTGAACATTCACACGTTTTCTTTATGATAGGCTAAAATTTATCTCCATAAATATTAAATAATATTTTCTTAATTCTGCGCATGTATTTTTACTTACTTACATCAATTGCTCGATCAATATTATTATCACATATTTTACATTTATATTTTTAACTGTACACAAACAACTTAATATAGCTAAGTTTGTGTATATTTTACACGTAGTAAAATACTGTAGGCTACTGCTTATAAACACCAGACAGATAATGATATATGAAACTGATGTTCTTTACTCATCTCACTTGCACAAAATAAATGCAGTAATATAAAGCATAGAAACGCACAGGTGAAATACACTGAAAATGATATGCATTTAAAAATTTGGTCGGGTTGAAAACTTATCTCTCTGGTAATGGAACTCGGTCGCTGTTGTCTCTTGCTCTCGCTGTCTCCCGCTCTCGCGGTCAGATCACCGCGGACGTTTTCGCCGGAAGTATTTGCCCACACAATAAAGTACGAACGTCAACGGTCGTCATATTATGCACGGAGCGAATTCACTGCAGTCGGACATTGGAGATTCGCGTTCGTAAATTGTCAAATTGGCCATAACTTTTAATTCGTTGCTGCCAAGGCTTTCTTTTAGGGTGGCATTTGCCACCCTATGCCACCCCGGTAGATCCGCCCCTGATCAGAGGAATATTAAAACGCAGATATATTAGCCTATTAACTTACAGTGCTCGTCACGCTCGTTCCTGTTGTGTCACGTGTTCTCAATCTGGCAACCCGCGTGAGCGTCGAGTCTGAGGAGAAAAGGTGGGAGAATCAAATCTCCAATATTTTGTATTTGGACTGCATTATCCATTTTTTCAACCACTATGTGTCAATATTACATACTGCACAGAAGATCCTTCGCTTAACCGAAACATCGGAATGATAGAAATGTCTTAAAATGGTTGTAACTGCAGGGTAGGCCTATTCCTATGGGTTTGTGCCTTAACAGTGATATGAGAATGCATTTTAAATATATATCCTGCAATAATCTCTTACTTTATATGTATCTTTTAATCTGTAGCATTTTAACACCCTGTATCCTATAAAAAATGATCTCAAATGAATGTACGCACAAAAATACCAATGTTACCTCTAGGAAATAAATTGAATTCCTTACATTTTTGTCTTGTTGACTTTGGCCTTACTGTTTATTTTATTTTAGACAAGGCTGTAAACAATGTACTTAATAAAAAATAAAATGCATACAATAAATATAGCCTACACATATTGCATTTTTACATATAGTTTGTTATAGTGGAAAAGTCGGATTTAAATTTGAATATAGGCTATCATTTTTTTGGTCTTTTAATATACACTATATCCTGAAAAGGGAACATTTCTTTCTTTCTTTCTTTCTTTCTTTCTTTCTTTCTTTCTTTCTTTCTTTCTTTCTTTCTTTCTTTCTTTCTTTCTTTCTTTCTTTCTTTCTTTCTTTCTTTCTTTCGTTGCTAAGTTTAGATATGACATTTCAGACATCTTAAAACATAATGGCCAAATGAGTGAAATCATTCAATTGAAATTGTCTGTGTTATTATAACGACGTATCTTCAATACATTCATAAAATACCTTGTTGGTCATCAGTTATTCAAGTAAATTGTCAAAACACAATTTGAAATAGAATGGTAGCTGAAAAGACCAGTGCTGAGATTAGTCAAATTACAGATGAAATTATGAAAAATTATATGAAAACTGTATTTCATTACACATTTTAGGTAATGTAATCTGACTACTTTTCGATTAGTTTTGACCTGTATTATCAGATTTGAAAAGGATAATCTTGTTCAATGCTGAAACACACACACACACGCACGCACGCACACACACACACACACGCACGCACGCACGCACGCACGCACACACACGCACGCACGCACGCACGCACACACACACACACACACACACACACTGATGTGTATTAAACATTACGTCTGAGATGGAATATTAGTTTGTATAAGTTGACGAAAAGGTATAATTAAATTATATATTTATTATAACAAAAATGTAAAATTAAAATGATTTTGTACTTAATTTTTTCTACATTTTTTTTCAAAATGAAACAAAAAAGATTTAATATTTTATTTGTTGTGGCCTCTCAATTCTCTGTGTAAGTATCCTTTATGAACATATATAAGTGACATGCTTTAAAAAAAAAGAAAATCAGTTATTTATTAATCATTTTCTGTCATTTTGTGAAAATTAAGTATGTCATCAATAAAAATGTAACTGTAGTGTGTAGTAGATCATGAGTAGGCTTATTTTATCTTCCCTCATTTCACCATAATCATTCCTGAAACAAGGCGCTCCCTCGCGCGGCCACGTTCCGTGTTCTCAGCGCTATAATATCGCGATACTACATATCCCGGGATGTGAGCCCGCTCTCTCCGCCCCCCGCAGAGTAAAGCGCATGCGCGAACGGTCACACGTGCTGCTGTTCTCTGAGCGCGCAGCAGCGAAGATGGCGGACGTGGAAAGTAAGATCATGCTTTACACATTTTGCTTTCTTTTTGCTACGATTGCTGTAAATTTGCTTATATTTAAACTCTACTTTAATGTGCATTTATTCACATATATCATGCGATTTAGAAGGGTAGAAGTAAACTGATCAAAGCTGAGTTCTTAACTTCATCAGCACGCGTTAATCCCGGGTGCGTGTAGAAATGCGTGACTAGTGCACATGCTATCATTAATGTCTTATTGCTAAGTAATTCTACTATTGATGGTAGTTTATTTATTTTATTAAATGCTTTAAGAAAAGGGGGGATAACTATTAATGGTAACGTTAGTTTATCTATTTCCATAAAATAATCAAGTCAATAGGTAGCTAATAATATAGGTAACTTAGTAAATGTATTTCTGCTTGCATGGAAGCCGGATAATTTTCCTTTTTATAGATAGTATAAGTAAATAAATAAATGTATGATGATACAGTAAATGGGCAGATTTGCAGGTAACGTTACTTTAAGTTATACAATTTCTGCAAACCTCACGGTCACTTAATATATGTAAATTATTATTTTTCACTTTGCTGCTTATTTATCGTAGCGCAATGTGATCGGCAGTGACAGACGGTGGTTTAATGTAACGTTTAACGTTAAAAATTTAATTTTAAACCTGTTTTGTGTTAAGTTAGAGCCCTAAATCAAACGCCACGTGCTGCTCGCTCAGGCCACGTGGTCCCGTTCAGTGCTGTGCACGCGCTCGATGAGGAGACCAGGCTTGCTTTAACATGCTTTATGTAGATCTACGCAACTGAGTCTTTTACTTAATTTATGTTATTTGTTATGTCCCCAGTAGGTTCAGCTAAGAAAGAGAAGAAAAGAAGGTCACAGAAAATTTCATCAGGAGACGTTGGGGTAATTGCAGTTTTCTATGCATGCGTTTTTCTGTATTTGTGTCGTCCTTTGCGAGTTTGTTTAAAAAATAAAAATACATTTTATTAATGTTTTGCTATGTCCTCTGTAGTGACACCAGGACTAAGTAGTTAAAAAATATAAAGACATGAAATTACATGTATAGGCAAAAACGATGTTTTTTTTCTTCATTCAGCAAACAATTTTCAGATTTCAGGATTTTCTTAACCAAACTTTGTAGAAAGATGACTCTCAACTGTTATTAAAGATATATTGAATTGATGCACCATTTTACTTTATTGGTAAAATGGCTATAAATGGTGTTCCCCATTCAATACACTATCTAATCTGCATATTAATGTGTTCTTGGGGCAACATGAAATGAAAAAAGTGTAAAAATGTGAGTAATAATCGGTAACACTTCCATAATATCTAGTTTTTCATAGGAATAGTGATGTATAATTCCACTTCACTTGTCTCCCAGAATGCCTGATAATCCTGCTGTAAGTCCTGGCGTCTCTACAGTGTTCATGTATGAAATCAATGCAATGTTTTATAACAGTCATATATTTTGATCAGAAACCCCATGACGATTTTCAGAGATTTTGATTTGACAAACAATTTGAAAAGTAGTCGGATTTAAATGGGTACAAAACTCATATTTCCTCCATTTCCGATTGTAAGAGTGCCACATTAGACCACTAAATTTAATATCAGTCATTTTTAAAGACCGATGTTGCGATGGTGAAACCTAAAAAATGTGTTGTCTCTGAAAAGCCCCTAATGTGCTCTGTACGGGACATTCACACTTAAAACTGTGACATATTCACTAAAATATAATGTGTCCACAGCAGAATTTCTGATCCAACTTGTTTAGGGTTTTTTGTCTGAAAAAATCGTGCTCCCATTCTGAAACCATTTTATTTCCATATTGTAATGAGTATTACAGGATATTCACTGTAGGGCAGAATTTTATTTTACATCGAAATGATTTGCCTGGAACATTTGACCAATCATAGACAACTTATAGTTTGAATTTGGCTGGTAACGATACCAACTTAAGCAATTTTGGTGTTGTGACAACACTACCTGATAATTTTTATCTAGGGGTGTAGCGATGCCCTCATGTCACACGATTCGATACACATCACGACTCATGATACGATATTATTGCGATACTCCAAGACATATGATAAAAGGTTAACAAATTAATTGTTGATTAAAATGCTAAATTAGGTGTTACATTGTGTGTGTAAATGAATAGACTTGCACTTGGTGCTGAAACTCAAAGCACAGGACAATAGAGACACCGGAATATCAATATTCATGATTCTGAAGCTGAAAATACTGAATTATTGTAGATGAATATGATGATCTCTGTCACTGACTAGATATATTTAACATAATGTCGGACACTTTTTACTGGTAACATCAGACATCTGGCATTATCAGGACCACAAATATTCCCCCATTGCATTATTATACATTATATTCAACATTATATATAGTAGTTTAATGTCTGACACGATGCATTGATGCATTTTTGTATTGCAATTTTTTTTTTACACCTCTATTTTTTATCACAAACTAGTTTTTGTTCATTTCCAAGATCAGTTTCCCAATAATCTCATTGAACTGTTTCAATCAGGACATTCAAGAAAGTGGAGACTTCCTCATCAAACCCGAGTCGAAGGTCGCGACCTTGGACACGTCCCAGTGGCCGTTGCTCTTAAAGGTCTGTGTCTGTTTACCCACAAACCCTTTCACCAGGCGTGTGTGTCATGATGAACGTGTTTATCCATTCGCTGAGCGCTGGTGTTGCTGTCCCTCGCCGGCCCCGCGGCTCGTTCTGGGTCGCAGGGTTTCGGCGTCTGGTTCTGCTCGGCTGGGCCGGTGTTCTGTCGGGTCAGCGGGTCAGGCTCACGATGCTGTGCGAGGGAACGGCCCACTTCTGACAAAGACGATTAAACATATCTGATCACACATACACACTTCGGTCTAATCTTTTAATGTCACTTCTGCTTCTAACCTACATGTTTTTCTACAGCATTTCGATAAGCTCAACATCCGGACGGCGCATTACACTCCTCTTCCTCACGGCTCGAATCCGCTCAAGAGGAACATCAGTGATTATGTCAGGTGGGAAATCTCGTATTAATAAATGTAATAGGGATGCACCGATATGAACATTTTGACCGATAACCGATATTAGGGGTGGGAATCTTTTACCATCTCACGATTCAATTCGATTCCGATTCTTGAGGCCACGATTCGATTCAAAACGATTCGATTTTATCCATTATGATTTCTAATCGGGTTTCTGATCATGATCTACTCTCATCTGCTTTGCTATACAGAATGACAAACGGAGACCAGTGTTTCCTCTAGGATTTTTTCCAGCTGTGGTGGCAGGCCCATTTCGCCAGGGGGAGGGGGCGTGGCCCATGAGTGATATTCCCATTGGCCACGCCCCCTTACCCCAGGTGTTTAAACCTCCCCTAAGTATTATAACATTATAACATGAAAGGCTCGAATAAGAGCGGCAAAGCGATTATGCGCATCCCGTGCGCAGAATGATGCACTTGAAGCAACGCGAAGTCACAGCGCGCAGCGCTCCGGATTGAAAAGTGATGAAACCGGTGTTGCGCCTGAACACCGGTAACACCGACTACCGTAGCAAGCCTACAAGCCGAGTGTGGTGCGCTAAACTGTGGCGCTGTTATGAAATAGCCTAAATTACAGCATTTAAAGTTAAGGATAAAACCATAGATAAAACATAGGCTAATTATATTTAGAATACAGTAATATATAACTGCTTATAAAGGAATAAATATCAAGGAGTAAATCAATGAATTTATTTCTATTGGTAAAAAAAAAAAAAATGCAACTGGTCGACCAATGAGAATATCAGTCGACCAAGACGGCATCGACCGATTAGTCGACTAAAGTTGACAGCCCTATTAATCTGGAAAGGCAAGTTATTCAGCTCCACAACAGAACAACTGGCTGAATAGTTGTCCGGTGTGTTAGCGTAACACATTAACAGTTATTCAGCTCCACAATAGCATAAAGCACACCCGGGAGGATGAATAGGCTAAATTACCATACGCGTACATTACCATACAGCGAGTCCAACAAGCAAGTTACCGGCGAGCAAGTTCACCAAGCTCTCGATCTCATTCCTCATCACTGAATCCACTGAGTTCTTCATCCTCGGTGTCGCTGATGAACGACTCCGCCAACTCGAGGCCCTCTCGCGGCTGCAGACGCTAATGCTTTCTCGGTTCATCTCAGTCTGAATTAGTTTTGATATATAAGTCGCACCGGACTATCTTATCGGGCCGATAACGATATCGTGCATCCCTAAAATGTGATGTAAGCCACATGATGATGTGATGTAGATTGCATTAGCACTTTGTGCAAAGATGACCTGTTATCTATCACCCCAGACTGATGGTTCCTCCACAAATGTGTGTGTGTTGTGAAGTTGAATCTCAAGTTCACACGTGTGTTATTTTGAACCTGTGTTCCCAGGGCTGGTTTCATTAACCTGGACAAACCCGCCAATCCCTCCTCGCATGAAGTCGTCGCGTGGATCAAGAGGATCCTTCGTGTTGAGAAAACGGGTCACAGTGGCACTCTGGACCCCAAAGTCACGGGTTGCTTGATCGTGTGTGTGGAGCGAGCCACGCGATTGGTTAAATCCCAGCAGAGCGCAGGTGGGTCATCCGTAGCACTTCCGGGTCGACCCGTTCAAGCTCACATTAAAACTAGCAGCCTTTCCTTACTACTCTTGTCTCATTGCTTTTAGGCAAAGAGTATGTGGGCATAGTACGGCTGCACAATGCACTAGAGAACGAACACCAGCTAGCCAGGGTAAGTAGCAATGTGTTCTGCTTTAAACAAATGGGGGAATAACACGGAAATAATCATCCAATAGGGATTACCAATTTTTTTTAATTTTTTTATTATTCTAAAGAAAGGTGCTTTTGTCTTAAGAACTTGAAGACGAAACGAAAACATTCGCCAACACTGTCGAAAAACACTAAAGTTAATGCATGTGCTTTCTATAATAAAGTAATGCAAATCTAAAAGTAAATTTTAGTGCAGAATTGAAAGCGTGTTTGAAGGACAGTAGTACAGCACTAGTACACTAATGTTAGTCATCCACAGTTTTCTCTGGTCGAAAATGAAGCAAAATCCTGGTTCACACCTCAGATTTTAAGACTGGAGGAATTGGGTGTGGAAAGCTGGGAGGGGTCGAACACAACCAATAAAATGTGGACTTGAAACGCTCATTATATAGATGAATAATTAAAATGTTAGGGTGAAAAAAAACGAAAGGGTCCCACTTTATATTAAGTGGCTCTAAGTACTATGTAATTACATCTAAAAATAAGTACAATGTACTTATGTTCATGTTGTATTGGGTAAGGTTAGGGTCAGGTGGGTCGGTTTAATGGGTTAAGGTGTAAGCGAAGGTCAACTGTGCAGGTATTTTTAAAATATAAGTACAATGTAAAAACATGTATGTACACAATAAGTCCATTGTATCAAATTATTAATTTCAATGTTAGTACATAGTTAAAGCCACTTGATATAAAGTGGGACCAACGAAGATAATTAGGAACTTGGCTGTATTTAAAAAATATCAGTCCTGCGCTTTACTGATCAAATACCGATGATTGGCTGGGTTTACCTAAACACTCGTCATGTCTTAAGTGAACACAAACCGTAGGGAGTCATTATATTGGATCAGTGCATTCAGTCTTAAAGTGACAGGAGCCTAATAAACCTGTTGCTGTCTGTCATCATAATCAAACGACTGAGCGAAAAGCTTTTGTAGCGCATTTAATTCATTGTGAAGACCATAGTTTTTTATTTTAGTAATAATTTTTTGTATTTCATACTTTAATATTAGGCTGAAAAACACTCTTTGACTTTAAAAACCGCTGATCTAACGCGTAAAAGTGAATAATTGCAGAAATATACCATTGTAGTTTTGAATAATGGTGAGTGTTGGTTCATTGCTGTGTGTGTGTGACGTGATGAACTTGTTTATCCATTCTCTGAGTGTCTCTCGGCCCTCCTCTCTCTCTGCCGGCCTCGTCTCTCTGCCGCAGTGTTTTGCTGTGTCAGATGCTCTCGAGACCGTGCGTGAGGGGAGGGCCTGATTCACCGAAGAAGAGCGGACATTTCTGAACACACGAGGGGCTTTCGCACCGGATAGTTCTAGGAACGAGCCGCCAGGATGGAGACCCGAGAACTAATGATTCCCGTAGGAACGTTTTCCTGGTTGCGTTCGCAGCGCTAGCATGAACTCTGAGTGACGTGAGACACGCTCGTTGTTGAGACTTTTATTTAGACGTCGCTGAGAACGGCAGCGCTCGCATTCTCCGTGTTCATTAGTGTACGATCTGTCTAATACGTTATCAGATAAAGCTGTTATACACAAAGTCGACCTAATGAAGAGTTATTAGCGTGTGTGTGTGGCTGATCCACGCTAGCTGAGCAGAAACACATAATCATGTTTCTCTCGGTCTCCTCAAAGTCACGTTGGGTTTTCTCCTCAGTGTAAAGGTTGAGAGGCTCATCTATCAGTGTTTTACATATTCGTAGAGTTAGTTTCTGGAGTAAATGTATAGGCTATAATCTGTGTGTTTTTAAAAATGGCGTGTTCTGGTGTTTCGCGGCCAATCAGCGAACACTGACGTCCCGTAGGGGTGGGGGAAAAAATCGATTCTTAGATGCATCGCGATGCGGACGTGGACGATTCTGAATCGATTCACAATTGTCAAAAATCGATTTAAAAAAAAAAAAAAAATTTTAGATATATATTTATAATAACGTAATATTGCCGGAACGCGAAAGACGGAACTCTGAAGCGCGGAAGTGCAGTGGCCGGACCGTCTGTGGCGTGCACATAACAGACGCGGACGCGATGGCTGAGCGCCAAATCCAAACACCCTCCTCGTTAAAAGCTGACGTGTGGAAATATTTTGGCTTCTGAAGTTGAAGGGGGAAAGGAGCTGGACAAGAGCCACACTAGTTGTAAGCTTTGTAGAGTAAAACTAAAATATTTCGGAAACAAGACACATGAAGCCAAATGACACGTTTCCAGCCAGAGGAGGAAAAACACTCGGCTGTAACGTTACCGGTCGTTGTTATATTATTAATTTACTACAAATATGCTGCTGCTAGTTCAGACACACATGTATTTTCCTGTTGGTTCTTTGCAATGTTAATAAAATATATTGTACGTTAATTCTTTATGGGTCATTACTTTGTACTTTTAAAGCAAAGTATTTATAGTCACACACACACAAAAAAAAGATTCTGATAATCGATTTAGCATCGAATCGCAGCCCTCTGAATCGTAATCGAATCGAATCGTGAGGTGCCTAGAGATTCCCACCCCTAACGTCCCGGACAGTTCCTATAGCGCTGGTCTAGGCCGACTCTAGGGTAGGGAGGTTAGGGTAATGCCGAGTTCAGACTGCACGATTTTAGCCCCGATTTTGGCTCGCCGACAGGTTTTGAGAAATCGCCGACAAATGCCCGAAATCACAGGCAAATCGGTGCTTTTTCACGCGAGTGACAATCACGCAGTGTGAATGAGCAAAGACGCGATCTGAGTGAATCGCCGACGCCCGTGAGATGTTTGGCATGCTAAATATCTGGACCTGTCGGCGATTCACAATCCTGCTGTGTGAATGTGTTCTGACTGAAAACTACATCGGCGATGACCGACAGCCAATGAGAGAGCAAGATACAGGGAGGAGGAGGAGGAGTTATAGACCAGAATATCAGTATTTTAATAGATAGGCCTATATTTACAATTATATCAAACAGAAACAAAGCACAAACATTTGCGTGACCAGCAGCAACAGCAGGACATTTGCAAAATTATTTATTTACCCCCAACTCTCTTTGCAAAACACAGTCCTTGCTCCCCTCGTCTTCCCAACCATTCCTGCATAAACTGTTTATTATTTATTTTTTCATTTTCGCTACAAATCAGTACACAGACAATTTGTAGGCTATCATTTTTAATAACAAATTCAGTGTCGCGCGAGAACTCCAGTCTCACACACGCGTGATCTTCCGTTATTTCCTATCACTTCTCGCGTTTGTTTGGTTGTGAAACGTAGTTTGCGGACCAGGCAGAAGTTGTCGGCGATTCTTTTTTTTGTAAAGTCATGCAGTGTGAAACCTCCTGTCGCCGATCCATCGTGCAGTGTGAACACAGCAGCAACTGAACGTTACCCCAGATAGTCATGCAGTGTGAAAACAACAGTGACCCGATTATTTTGAAAATCGTGCAGTCTGAACTCGGCATTAGATTAGTTATTAGCTAAATTAGTTCCTCCAAAAGGAGTTCCTAGAACTGAAATCGTTCCCAGTTCCTGCGGTGCGAACGCGCCAAAAACCGTGATCTTCGACCAATAGTTGCCGTTCCTCCGGTGCGAAAGCCCCTACACACACATGGACCGTGACCGTGAATGAGTGTAGGAAGTCTTGTGTGTGAGATTATCATCAGTGTGTGTGTGTTTGTCTTCAGGCGATGGAGTGTTTAACAGGAGCCCTGTTCCAGAGGCCTCCGCTCATCGCCGCTGTGAAGCGCCAGCTGCGAGTGCGCACCATCTACGAGAGCAAGCTGATCGAGTACGACCCCGAGAGGAGACTAGGTCAGAAGATCAAGCTTATTTCCTCTTGACTCATTAACTGTCAGCCACATGATGATGTGATGTAGATTGCATTAGCACCCTGTGCAAAGATGACTGTCTATCTATCACCCAAGACTGATGGCTTTAGTGCAACCCTTACAAATCACACACACACACGGCTCGATTTTCATGCTAGGCGACTAAATGCCCGTCATTAGACGTTGGCTTATAAATTTAGAAGTCACTCTCCAGAGTAGGGCTGTGAAGCCGATTAATCGCACACAAAATAAAAGTTTGTTTACATTATGTGTACACTACATATAATTTGTTTGTATATATAAATACACACATGCATGTATATACTGTATATATAATTTGTATTATATATAATTGCCTTATATAAAAAACACATTTTCCATGAGTGTATATATATATATATACACACACACACACACACACACAGTGCACATATGTAAACAACTTTTATTTTGCAGGGGATCAGTCATGATTGTTTACATATGTGCACGGCGTATAATTGTGTATGTTATTTTTTATATATATATATACACACATTTTTCTTAAATGTATACATGCATGTGTGTATTATATATATATATATATATATATATACATACACAATTATACACCGTACACATTATGTAAAACTTTGGAGTAGGGCTGTGAAATGATTAATCACATCCAAAATAAAAGTTTGTTTACATAATGTGTATTGTGTATATATAATACACACATGCATGTATACATTTAAGAAAAATGTGTGTATATATATATAAAAATAACATACACAATTATACGCCGTGCAGATATGTAAACAATCATGACTGATCCCCTGCAAAAATAAAAGTTTGTTTACATATGTGCAGTGTGTGTATATAATACACACATGCATGTATACATTTAAGAAAAATGTGTGTATGTATATATATATTGCATAAACAAAATAATTATACACTGTACACACACATTATGTGAACGCGCACTTATTTTGATCGCGATTAATTGTTTCACAGCCCTACTCCAGTGTTTGAGATACAGGCTAATTATAAGTCAATCAAGCATTTTATTATTTTGTTTAATGATCGAGCTTGTTTAAATCTGCACCAAATTATTTTTTATCTTTGTAAAATGGCTCAATCTTAAACACACAGGCGCAAATATACAAGCCAATGGCGATTCTGTTGCTACGGTGTGCGTCGAGGGTTAAATCCACCATAATGACTCCGTTTCCGAAGTGCCCGATTGTGAGTGTGTGTGTGTTTCCGAAGTGCCTGATTGTGAGTGTGTGTGTGTTTCCGAAGTGCCCGATTGTGAGTGTGTGTGTGTTTCCGAAGTGCCCGATTGTGAGTGTGTGTGTGTGTTTCCGAAGTGCCTGATTGTGAGTGTGTGTGTTTGCGAAGTGCCTGATTGTGTGTGTGTGTGTGTTTGCAGGTATCTTCTGGGTGAGCTGTGAGGCGGGCACGTACATCCGCACGCTGTGTGTGCACCTGGGTCTGCTGCTGGGGGTCGGCGGCCAGATGCAGGAGCTCCGCAGGGTCCGCTCGGGTGTTCTGGGAGAAATGGTACGGTGAGAACCGGGTCTCGGTCTGAAGAACCAGAGTGTTGAGTTCAGTTCTGGGCTTTATCCCCAGTTCTGCTAATTAACCTCTGGGACAGAAAATGGCTGAGTGTTAACACAATCATGAAGTGGTTATTGACTCCAGCCGACACGAACTCCTTTAGGAACATGTTCTTCATCAGAGTTATAGTCTAGTAATGATCAGTTCAGATGCATGACGTGTGTGTGTGTGTGTGTTTCTGTTAGGATAACCTGGTGACTATGTGTGTGTTTGTTAGGATAACCTGGTCACAATGTGTGTGTGTTTCTGTTAGGATAACCTGGTGACGATGTGTGTGTGTTTGTTAGGATAACCTGGTGACGATGCATGACGTGTTGGACGCGCAGTGGCAGTTCGACCACAACAAGGACGAGACGTACTTGCGGAGAGTGATCTTCCCTCTGGAGAAACTCCTCATCTCACACAAGAGGATCGTCATGAAGGACAGCGCTGTAGGGAAACTCGCGTCACACTCTTCAGAACACGTTTAGATCGTTCACGTTCGTGATTAATGACATGTGTTTTGTAACAGGTGAACGCTATATGTTACGGCGCTAAGATCATGTTACCAGGCGTCCTGCGATATGAAGATGGCATTGAGATCAATCAAGACATCGTCATTATAACTACTAAAGGAGAAGCCATTTGTACAGGTGAACGACGTTTGCACTCCCAGCATGCACTATTCTAAGCCACATGATGATGTGATGTAGATTGCATTAGCATTACTGCAAAGATGACTGTTTATCTATCACCCAAGACTGATGGCTGTGTGAGAGCTTCGTCTGTTAGCCGTCCTTCAGCAGATTCTCATGACTCTGGTGTGTGTGTGTGTGTGTTCTGCAGCGGTGGCCCTGATGACGACCGCCGTCATCTCCACATGTGATCACGGGGTTGTTGCTAAGATCAAGAGGGTCATTATGGAGCGAGACACGTATCCACGCAAATGGGGCCTTGGCCCGAAGGTGAGGAACACCGAGAGATCACACGCTTCTCAGTGGTGACGTCGTGTACGCGTTTCATAACGTTTTCATGTTTCAGGCTAGTCAGAAGAAAATGATGATTCAGAAAGGGCTTCTGGACAAGCATGGCAAGCCGAACGGCAGCACTCCTTCAGACTGGAAAGAGGGATACGTGGACTACAGGTACATATATAGCTGGAGACGTGATGCTGTAGTGGACATTGAGGAACTGTTACTGTTATTGTGATAGTGTTCACAAAGCAGCAATAGGGTAAAAAAAGTTGATAGTCTGATTTCAAATGGACCGCAGGAGTGAGTGGCGGAGTCTACTTTCTAGTTTAAGGCCCTGGGGCCGGTTTCACAAAGCTGTTTTAGACCGCTCTATAGTGTTAGACAAGACTAAAACGTGCTCATAGACTAGTCTAATGCAAGTTAGACTGTTCCACAAAAATTAAGACTGACTTAATTTAGACCAAAAAATTAGACGCCCCCAGGCTAACTCAGGGCTGAGACTCTGTTACCGTGGCAACCAGCAGCAACAATCAGTTACACTGCAAACAGCCGAAAGAAAAGGGAAAATGGCCGTTTCCATATATATCCATCACCATTTCAGTGTCTTTAAGCTTCTCTTGGTGTCCTCCTCCCGTTTTTGGATATTTCCTCTGAAATATTTCTTTTTTGGCATCTTGTACTATGTTTTTGAATCTTTTCTGTACGTCTTTAACGCTCCGCTCAACACTCGGATTAACTGTCATAGCAATCTTTGTCCAAATTAAACATTTCTTCTTGTCTCTACATTCTCTGCTAAATTTCCCCAGTGAAATTTCCTTGTAACTGTTACACTCCTCCAACACACATATCTCCCGCTGGGGTAAACTGCACTGAGCGGGTGAATGCGCTTACTCCATCCGCCATGTTTTTTGTTTTAAAAAGTCTTATTTTACCCAGAATGCATTGCAGTGTAGTCCTACTTAAGATAGTCAGTCTTGAGTGCTTTGTGCACCGGTCTGATTTAGACGTCTATCTGAAGTCTGACTCTCTACTACATCTAAGCCGTAGTCAAAGTCTATCTTTGTGAAACCGGCCCCAGTTTACAGCTGGTATTGAGATGTGTTTTGGTGGATCGGATCACAGGTAGACGAGAGAGACACATTCCCGTTTACACCTGGTGTTTTAATCCGTCCACTTTAACCACTTCTGTCCTGATTTCTTCAGAGGAGGGTCTATGGGCGGGTACATGTGTGTGTTTTCAGATCATTCAGAGCTCACGCAATTTACATATGAACACGACCGGAGACTTTAGTTTCTGCTCTTATAGACGCAAGACCAGCCGAACGCTGTGAGTGTGTGTTAGGAATCAGGAACGCTGAGAGAACATTGTGTTTGGTGCGATTTCCCTCTTCAAACCAAACTTGTGTCTTCAGCTGATAAAGTTTAAACCCCGTCTGGCTAGATCTCTATAATGTTCACTCATTATTCAGGAGACGGAGAGAAGACGGTCTTTTAGTGGCTGTTTGAACACATTCGGTCACATGAGCGTTTACACTACGACAGCAATCCGGCCGAATGTGTTTTCAACTGGAAGTGGACGAGCTCAAAGCGCTTTAGACCCGTTTACACCTGTGTGTAGAGTCGTCCACTCGCGATCCCATCGACTGAAACACATCTGAACTCCAGCGGTAAACAGGGCCACATGCAGTTTACAGTCTCAGTGTCCACAGGATGGCGCCATTTATCAGTGCGTCCGATATTACTAAACTGATAGGCAATAAAGATAAAATGCTAAAATATAGGGTAACACTTTACAATAAGGTTCATTTAGTTAAGAACAATACTTTTTTAGCATTTAATCTTAGTTAATATTAATTTCAACATTTACTAAGTCATTAAAATCAAAGGTTGTATTAGCTAACATTAATACACTGTGAACTAACAATGAACAGCTGGGTTTTTATTAACTAACATTAACAAACATTTTGTCCATTTTGTTCATGTTAGTTAATACATTAATGTTCAATAATGAATAGGGCTGTCACTTTTGTGAAAAAAGTGGACGAGCGTAAAGAGGCGCTTGAGACGCACAAGTCAGCGATATTTCTGATGATTTACTGGCGTTAAGTTTCAGCACAATGACAAACAGGAGCGCAACATTCAGGGATTGAGATTAACACCCTCGACCCGCCGAATGCGGGTACAAATGAACTTTGGCGGGAAACGCTGTCAAATCACGAGCCAATCTGGCATGTTTCTGTGTTTACTCACTTTGCTGGGGAAGTTCGTGTAAGACAAATCTGTGCGGATTTAGTGCAAATACGCAACTCGTGATCCTCATGATATATTAAATACAGCGTATTGCAGAATCTGCGCATATCTGGCTTACTTGAACACACACACTCGTCACTATGCAACAAATAACGGCGCGCTTGTTCACTTGCATTGAAGTAATAGCGAATATTAAAAAGCATTTGGTGAACAGAAAAGACAGTGTTATTTTCCAGCATCCTACATGATCTGTGTCCTGTATTGATCTGTCCTCCTAAAACACAATTTTGTAAAAAAAAAAAAAAGGCTGTTAAAATCGATTCCCTATTTTTGTTTTCGATACTTGTGTTGGTTGGTCCGATCGATCGTGCAATCAATTTTCGAACGTAAAGTGACCGCCCTAGTAATGAACCTAATTGTAAAGTGTTAGCAGATCTGTGTGGATCTTTTCCTTCAATGTGTAGGGCTGGGCGATATGACCAAAAATTCACATCACGATATTTTTCACTGTCCGGACGATATCGATATTATATCGCGATATGAGAAAAAAAATTGGAATCACATTTTAGTACACCTTAGTTAAATTACAGGCAAAATATGTATTTTAACAGTAGATAACTAGAAAAAGGTGAGGCATTTCATTGGACATAGACCTGAAATGTTTTTTTTTTTATTGTGCCATTTTTTTTTTTCTCTCAAAAAGTGCAAACGTGCAACATGAGGTAGGCCTGAATGCACTTGTTATGTCTTTCCACTTTCTGCTCGTCTTGTTATAATGAGAACCGGCAGCGAATGAAGACTTTATTGATTTCTGAGTGAGCCGTCTTCGGGTGTGCTCTGTCTCCGGGAATATCTGTTGTTATAGTTTTGCTTTTTTAAATTAGTTTTTATTTTAATATCGTTTTCAATTTTGCTTTAAATTTCAGTTTAGTTTTAGCTAGTTTCATTAATGGCTTTGTTAGTTTTTATTTTGCAAACACATTTCTGTATAGTTTTTATTTAGTTTCATCTTTAGTAATTCTAGTTTAGCTTTAGCAGAGCGAGCAGAACACTTCCAGTGTAGACCAAAGCGAGACGTTTAATTTAAGTTTAATGTTTGCACAGATTAACTCTTGTGCAGACATCTTAATAATAAAAATAAAATAATGGTTTGAGATTGAACAAAGCACCAAATAAATAAAACTTAAAAGTATACAAGAAAAAAACAATGAAAATCTTCATACAAACTAATTCATTAGTGTAAGGAGACAGAATAAAGGCCTACAGTTTGTACAGTATAAAACCCATTACGTCTATGGAGAGTCCCCACAAAGATAGTGGACCAGTGTGTGTGTATGCGCGCTTATGTGTGTGTCGTGTGTATGCGCGCGCTTATGTGTGTCGTGTCCTGTTATTCATAGCCTAACGTTACATTGCGGGGAAATGTCTCCATGTGGATATTATTATTAGCAGTAAATGTTTTGTAAAAACAAAGATGATAATAATAGCAGCTTTCAGCCTTTCAACCTTCATGAAAACATGACATCTCAAACATACAGTAGCCTAGAAGAGCCTTTCTCAAACTTTTTTCAGTCAGGGCACCTTTCAAAAGTGCATAAAATATCAAGGCACCCCAGTGTAAAATATAATTTAAAAACACTGCATAACCCAAATGTAAATGCAAATGTCCTGTTTATTTAGACAGAACAGTATGAACAGAGCATAATACGAACTGTAAATAACAATAACAATAATAACAATTTTATAGCACCTTTTGGTATATTGTGGTCAATAAAAAAAATTATTTGCTTATAATTAACATGACAATGTGTACAAAACTAAAGTGGCCTAAATTCACGTTTATTTTTACGTTTCTGTCAGTCTGAGGTGTTGTTGCTATAATAACGCGTCGCTATGGGTTGCCGCTGCGTCACTTGCGTCAAGTTGTGTGTGTGTCTTGCTTCGGTCTTGTGAGACGGATTTTTATGGTTAATTTTATATACCGTATTTTCCGCATTATAAGGCGCACTTAAAAGCCTTTAATTTTCTCAAAAAATGACAGTGCGCCTTATAATCCGGAGCGCCTTATATACGGATGGGGAACACACGTTCACCAAGACGCGGAGACAGCGCCGAGCAACTTACGCCACTATTTGCCAATGGATCGTGGATGCCTGGGCTGATATATCAGTCTCAACTGTGATCCGAGCTTTCACGAAGGCAGGAATAATCTCTTTATCCTGTTTTCGGCCGAAGTCCACAGTAGTCGATTGTCGAGTTCGCGCGCGCGTGATCAAACCTCCTCCGTGTGTTCAACATCTGATTCGGATGAACTATCCATTTGAGCTGATATTCTCAGACACCACACACACAGCACCGTCATCGGCTGACAGCTGACAGTCTGAGTCTCCACTGTTGCTTAGTTACCAATGATCGCGCGCGCACTCGACAATCGCCTACTGTGGACTTCGGCCGAAAACAGGAAGTAAATACGGGTATGTGAGCAGCTGGCTGAATAAACATCATTTTTATTCATATCTTTCACATTTACTGCAGTCAGATTCACCGTGTTCACTCACATGGCTGTGCACTTGTAATGACACATTAAGGTTGTTAAGAGGCTAAAAGCAGGTTTAAAACTTGCCCCGTGTAAGTCAACAGGGTGCAAATTTTAAAAAGAGGATAACACTGTGTAGGCAACACCGTTTTTTTTCCGTATATATTTCCGTATATATTTATCTAAAATTAATTTACAATTTTATTAATACGTTCATATGTTTAAAAAGAAGAATGTATTTATGTAAATATATTTATATATATGAAATGTCAGATTTTTATTTTATTTTTTTAGCCTATGTCATTTTTTGGCGGCACCCCTGACACAGTCAGGGGGCACCCCAGTGTGCCGCGACACCCACTTTGAGAAAGGCTGGCCTAGAACTTTAACTTTTTTTTGTGTTTGACGAACTTGTTTTGGTGTTGCACCTGCGTCTCGCAAATGAAACGGCATTCTAAAACTGCTGCGCTCAAGTTAAAAGTCAAACTTGCGTCTCATTACCTTGTTATTTCCCATTCCACCGCAAAAGATGCATCCTTTATGAACAGCCGCTTAGCACTAGCGATGTGTTCTACGTTATGGTCCTTCATTGAACGCGTCACAGGACAGCGGTTAATCGCCTCAGCAACTTCACGCCTATGAAGCGCCAAATCAGCCATTTCCTTAAACAGCGTATTCGATTCTGTATCGTCATTAGTGTTAACAGTTGTAAAGAGTACCAAATTGAACAAAACAATATAACTGCAAAATTTGAAATTATGAATACGGTATCCTCGGTATCGCAAAATCCATATCATGGCACAACATAATACAGGGATTCACGTTCATACCGGTATAGCGCCCACCCCTAGTGTGTGTGTGAGGTGCTTCTGCAGACTGTTATCCCTGCCTGGTCTGCAGTGACCCTTCTGTAAGTGTGTGTGTGTGTGTGTGAGGTGCTTCTGCAGACTGTTATCCCTGCCTGGTCTGCAGTGACCCTTCTGTAAGTGTGTGTGTGTGTGTGTGAGGTGCTTCTGCAGACTGTTATCCCTGCCTGGTCTGCAGTGACCCTTCTGTGTGTGTGTGTGTGAGGTGCTTCTGCAGACTGTTATCCCTGCCTGGTCTGCAGTGACCCTTCTGTAAGTGTGTGTGTGTGTGTGTGAGGTGCTTCTGCAGACTGTTATCCCTGCCTGGTCTGCAGTGACCCTTCTGTAAGTGTGTGTGTGTGTGAGGTGCTTCTGCAGACTGTTATCCCTGCCTGGTCTGCAGTGACCCTGCAGGGAGTCTGTCTGCTAAAGTAACCCCTGAGCTCAGGATCTGGCGTCTGCACCGGGCCGGCGTCCTCTGAGCTCTCGGGACAAGCGGATCTCCAGTGCGCGGGGACGAGTCGTGTTGTCTGGGATTTACCTTTACACTCACACACTCTCTCTCTCTCTCTCTCTCTCTTTCTCTCTCTCCTAGCACTGCGAAGGTGAAGAAGGGTGAAGCGACGGCTCAGACCGCAGCGAAGGTATGTGTGATTTATGAATTTTCTTTTTGTGATCACTCACAAAAATCAACTTGTTGAATTAACTTAGGTTGTTTCTCTGGTCGTGATAAAGGTGAAGAGTGAAGACTCAACTTAATGCATGTTTTGTAAGATTCGCCTCTCAGATTATGCCTGAAAAGGTTTTGAATTTGTGTTAATTTTAAAAATATATATATAATTTAGGATTTTTGCCATGAAAATAGCCTTAAATGCCGACATGGCATTAAATAAAACTCTATCTCTCGTCGTGATCGTCCCTGCGTTTTTAAATGGTATAATGTTATATAGTTTGAAAGAAATCATTCATTTACATTTTATTAACAATTAAAGTAATACTGTGTGCTTTATTAGACACTTTTAAAGTAGAAATCAGCTGTGATATTTAAACTGTTAATTCAATAACTAGCTGATAGAACGTCATCAGAAATGTTCATGTCTTTCTTTCTTCAGTGGAAAAGAAATGAAGGTTTTTGAGGAACACACTCCAGGATGTTTCTCCATATAGTGACTTCAATGGGGTCCAACGGGTCGAAGGTCCAGATGTGAGTTTCAGTGCAGCTTCAAAGTCTCGACACGATCCAGCCGAGGAATAAGAGTCTGATCTAGACAAACCAGCGGACATTTATAACAAAATAAACATTTATATACTTTTAACCACTAATGCTGGTCTTGCACTAGCTGTGATGAGACACACATTACGTTGGAAAGGTCACGCGTGACATCGTTAAACATCCAGGATATGCACACATAAGGGCCATATTAAACAATAAACTGACACAAATACATATGTGTCATTCAACATACAATAACTTTTGAACGGTCCGACTACATGACCTTTCAACGTGATTATGTAATGTGTGGCGCATCTCAGAGATAGTACAAGACGAGCATTTGTTGGACCCCATTGAAGTCACTATATGGAGGAACATCCTGGAGTGTTTTGCTCAAAAACCTTCATTTCTTTTCCACTAAAGAAAGACATGAACATCTCGGATGATGTGGAGGAGAGTAAATTATCAGGAGATTTTTATTTGAAAGTGAACTAAGCCTTTAAGCCGTTTATGACCTTACTCTGGGAAAGGAACACCGGTTAACACGGCCAAAGGAATTAACGTCTGAAGAGCGAGACTGTAAACGCAGTTGTTTTGCTTCTCTTGGTATTGGACTAACACTATTTGTTATTCTAGAGGAAACGTGACGAGAGCGGAAGTGAAAGTGGTGATGCCGTCGCTCAGGACACATCCAAGACAGAGGAAGAAGTCAAAAAGGAGAAGAAGAAAAAGAAGAAAGAAAAGAAGTTGAAGCTGGCAGAAGAGGCTCCGGCCGAGGATGAACCCGAGGTCAGGGTTCGGTCGCTCACATGACACACACGTTTGTAGGGCTGTAATGGGGGGGGGGGGGGGGGGGGATTTAGGCTTGTCCGTCTAAATTAATTATAAATAAACTTAAACTAGTAGGCTATTTGCAGTATATTAAATCGTTTTTCACCTAATTATTTTGCACTGAAATGACACTCGAGTCTGACAGTGTTGCATCATGTGCAACTGCGCAATATTATAGCCTATGCTTTCAGAAAATAGTACTATGTCAAGTAGTGATATCAGCACACGACCTGTTGAGGAATATGCAACATCATTTAGATAATTATTTTTGTCATATGTTATAATAACTGACAGCTGAACACAGGAGCTCAGCTGAGACACGAATAGACTTATTAACTTAAAGCTTTTACTCTTAAACACAAGGCACGTCCACTTTAATAAAAAAAATATTTATTAAACAAACCAGATCAAGGCGAGAGCAGCAACTAAAAGTGCATAACTGAAAAATAAAGCAAAGGCTCACAACCAATACAAACAGTGCACAGCACAATCGCGCGTTGGGCTTGGGCGTTGGATTTAGGCGTTGGTTGTTGGGGTTGGGCGTTGTTGGGGTTGGGGTTGGTCTTAAGCGTTGAGTTTGGCAGTGGGCTTGGGCGTTGGATTTAGGCGTTGGTTGTTGGGGTGTTGGTTGTTGGGGTTGGGCGTTGTTGGGGTTGGTCTTAAGCGTTGAGTTGTGGCAGTGGGGTTGGGCGTTGGGTTTGGGCAGTGGGTTTGAGCGTTGGGTTTAAGGGATTGGGGTTGTGTTGGGGCGTTGGGTTTGGCCGTTGGGCTTAGGCGTTGGGCTAATCCAAAAGAAGTGAAAACAAGAGGGGTGTTCTGCAGACAGACTGTTCCCTGTGAAACGGGTGCTCTGAAAACATTAGCAATTAGTGCTTTCCACCTCATCAAATTAACACGGCAAAAAATCAACCAATCATAATTTTGGTCGAGCCAGAACGTATCGACCAATAAGTGGACTGGGATATTACAGCCCTGCACGTTTGTTCATTCAGTGTGAGGATGATGTACTAAACCAACTCCTTTCACATGCAGGTCACGGAGAGCGCCAAGAAGAAGAAGAAAAAGAAAAAGGAGAAAGATGCAGAAGCTGCCTCAGAATGAACAGACTCGTGTAATATTGAGAGAGCGCACCAGTAATCATGTCGAGTGGAAACTGGTTCCCAGTGTAACGATGGACATCTGCGGGTCTGAAGATCGTTCTTGTAAATGTTTGCGGTTCTGAATACTTGATGACGTTTTTTGTTTTTTTGGTCGTCCAAATGAAACCCGTATTGCCTGGGTGCATTCATGTATTTGAAAGTTTTTTTTTTTTTTATTATTATTATTATTGTAAATACAGATTGTAATCCTGTAATCAAATGAAACATGACTGACTTTTTACAAAAAAAGGCCCCTTTGTTTCCTTCTGCATTTGACCCGTTTGAGAGAGCGATTCGTCCGCTCAGTGATTTCTAGGACCAGCACAGGCTTCATTTGCAGCGGGTTTACTGGATTGTGTTCGTTCTCTTCTGCAGGGTGGCCACGGGTGCGTAAAGTGTCTTAAATTGAGTTTTCCTAATAAAAGGCCTTAAAGGGTTTTAGTTAAACCCAAAATTAAAACTTAGTAATACTCTCCCTCTCAGCTCTCAGATTTAATCAAACATATCTTAATTTGTGTTGTGTAGATGAACGAAAGTCTTACGGGGTTGAACAACATGAGGGAGAGTAATTACTGACAACTTATTTTGGGGTGAACTAACCCTTTAAAAAGTAGACATGCCACCCAAGCTTCGCCCCGACCACAACATTTGAGGATGGGAAGTTCGATCTGGACTTGATCCGTTGTGAAGCAAGTATGCTCGAACCAAAGCTGTTCGGACCAATCAAATCATCAGGCGGGCTTTATAAGATAATGGACAGATGATACACAGTGACGTAATCACCACGTCACCAAAGAGCGCTTGGGTTGAATTCGTTACATCAAAGATGGCCGCCGCTTAAGAACTGAGGTGTGTGGATCCAGCCGTCGCGTCTGTTATGGAAGATGTCGACAGCGCATTAATTTAAGAGGAACAGAACCGCGATCAAGGCATTTGTCGATCCAATCGAGTGCAGAGGCATTTTCTTTCCTGGTTCGGTTGAAACGCCCCATAATCAGCCCAGTGGAGCAGTCTCAGACTCGCTTGCTGACTAGAATCTGAGTATGACGACGTCAAGCTACTTAAAGTATTAAAATGTCTTAAATTCAGATTTGATGGGTCTTAAATATTTCTGGTCACATTAACGCTGAAATTTCTCAAGTCTGACGGACCCGATGTCTGTCAAATAACCAGTGAAGGAGCGAATCGCGAGAATGATGCTGATTTTATTACATAAACAGCGATTGATAATGTATTTCTGGTAACGCTGTTTAGACTCGCCTATCTCTGAGAGAAATTTTATAGTAAAAACTCAAAACAAATGAGCATAACAGCACACATAACCTCACAGAAGTAACATCCTGAGGTATGTTCAAAATTGAGTTTTGTATTTCATGATATAGGTAAATAACATGACGGGAGCTATTTTGCTGAATATTCTCACGATTGCAAATGTAACAGATTTTAGTTCAATAAACAATAGTATTAAAATACTTAATTTACTTAGCTTAAATATAGTTCACTTCAAAATGAAAATTGTCATCATATACTCGCCCTTAAATTGTGTCAAACCTGTATGAATTTATTTTTTCTGCTGGACACAAAGGAAGATATTTTGAAGAATGTCAGTAACCAAATGGTTAACTGGACCCATTGACTTCCATTTGTATTTTTTTATTTCCTAGCCATAGAAGTTAAAGGCACAACATATAGGGGTTTTTTTTGCCACAAGAGGGCGCAGTTTCCAACAATAACAAAGGCGTAGGTTGATGACGCAGTGATGAGCTGAATGATGGGACTTGCTGTCAAGCTGATGGATGTAATGTTTATGGATGAGTGCAAACATTCATGTTTTTTTAACATAACAGTGGTATAAAGCAGGTCGCGATTGCTAAAGAGACAGATATCACACGCGAGTCCCGTGGATATAAAGGAATAAGGACATTTAATTCTACCGAACTACCGCAAGTGCTGGATTACTCACACAGGTCAGTTTATGGGGGCGGCAGTGGCTCAGTGGTTCATGTAGGTTGTCTACAAACCGGAAGGTTGGTGGTTCAATCCCCGGTTCCACCTGACCAAGTGTCGAGGTGTCCATGAGCAAGACACCTAACCCCGGCTGCTCCCGACGAGCTGTATGGCGCCTTGCATAGTGTATGAATGAGTGAGTGAATGGGTGAATGTGAGGCAAATTGTAAAGCGCTTTGGTGGCCATTGGGTCTGTGAAAGCGCTATATAAATGCAGTCCATTTACCATCACGCAGCGCTGCTTCACTTGGTCTAACTATCACACTAAATGATAATGATAGGCATTTAAATGTGTGTTGAAAGTTGTAATGTTATACTACGTGTTATTTTGTTTGCTATACGAAACTACCAGTAAGCTAGATCAACATTAGAATAACGTACTGACCATATTCTAACATTTCATCATGTTGAGCTAACGTTATAAAACTAACATTGTTTTGTTTTATGTACATTTGCTCACCTGTCTAATAAAGTTGTCAAGTCGTGACTCGTGAAGCTCTGTCGAGTCCAAGTTAGTCGCGGACGCTAGCTCTCGGCATCTCAAAAACGCCACGCTGATATTGATCCTCATTTTAGTTCTCCTTGTTTGTCCCAAAGTCTGCTCGCCATGGTCTATGTTTAAAAGAAACAAGAACTGCGTGCCGCTAAACGTGACGCACTACGCAGTTGTCCGCGTCTGTCGCCATGGTTACGTCATGGCTATGGCAGTTCGAGCGGAAACCGAGGATAGCGCGGATATTGCGTCATTGACAGGTGACATTTTTTTCCGGCACGGCCACTTATTTAAAATTGGAATTTCTCTGAAATAAAAAAACTTTGGAGACTTTTGGGATATTGTAAGTACACAACTGCAGGAAATATATCACACTGTGCAAGTGATTTTTGAATATTTTATTATAAAATTCTTACATATTGTACCTTTAATGGGCGAGTAGGCTATATGATAACAGAATTTTCATTCTGAAGTGAACTATCCCTTTAAACATTGCATATACATATGTAATATATTGTGTTTTTCCATCACAGGTTTGGTCTTAAGACTTTTTAATGCCACTTTGAATGAAATTTAAATCTTAAATGTAACTTGTTTAAATATGTAGACACCCTGTTCTGGCTTCTCATTGGACAGATTTATCCTGATGAAACCACTGTTTGCTATAGTTTACTGACTCTTCCAGCACTGCGAACCGCTTTCAGGATGATGCCTGGCCAGTGCCCATCCGCCCCTGACAGTGCTGTTCTGGCCAGAGCAAGTGCATGTTGCAGTGGAGTTAAAGGGATAGTTCACCCAAAAATGAAAATTCTGTCATAATTTACTCACCCTCAAGTTGTTTCAAACCTGTATGAGTTTCTTTCTTCTGCTGAACACAAAAGAAGATATTTTGAAGAATGTTGGTGAACAGACAGTTGCTGGACCCCATTGACTTCCATAGTAGGAAAAAAAGATACTATGGAAGTCAATGGGGTCCAGCAACTGTCTGGTCACCAACATTCTTCAAAATATCTTTTGTGTTCAGCAGAAGAAAGAAACTCATACAGGTTTGAAACAACTTGAGGGTGAGTAAATTATGACAGAATTTTCATTTTTGGGTGAACTATCCCTTTAAGAGTCAAAGCTGAAATAGGCTAATGTCAAGTTTCCATTATTGTGATTGATTTATTTCTGTTAGTTGTCTTCAGCCATTTTGGTATGTTAATTTTGAGTCAGTTTTGCACTTCCCATTTTTTTTTTTTTAAATTTACATTGTGAAAAACAAGGTTGTGTTCCATATTGTGGTGTTCAGCAATTTTAACATAATATCGTCATCATATCAGTGTAGATGTAGATGGACCAAAATAAAACCATTCAAATATTAAGTAAATAACTATTGTGATACTTGAAGTATTGCTTTACCACGATACTCAATATGTTGTTCTACAGTGAGTCATTATTCATGTATGATTGCACATAAAATGTAATCTATAGCCTACAACCCCTGGCGAAAAATAACGAGATCGCCACACTTAGTTCAACCATTGTTGATACCATAATTGTTTTAACACAGACAGGCCAATAATTATATTAAAAAAGTTTACATAAAGCCAGAATGTCAAGCTTTTGAACAAAACCTGTGTTTTAATCTCCTTTGTTAATTTGCTATAAAGTGAAAAGGCTGAACATCCTCTAAGTGGCGACTACACTGTTCCTGATGCTTGTATTCTCAGTTCACATAAAAGATAACATAAAAGGAGGTATGAAAATAATGTAGGCTACTAAGACAACAAAAAATGCTTATGATTGAAAGAACTTCATTTTAGATCTTCATTGAATAAATATTGCTTGTGACATGGTAGCCTACTATACAATGTTCAAGTGTTTTCTTCTGGATTTCTGAACTTTAACGGCGTAGAAAGCTTAAGGTGAACTACATTCAAGCCACATCTAGATCCTGAATACCACACAACATCTCTGCTAGATAATAGCAGAGATCGTCTAAAGCATTATTAAATCTGGAGACCAATTTAAAATGGGTTTCTAACTGGTTAAAGTGCAGGGGCCTGATGTAGCCTATAAACGTTGCGTACGCACAAAATGGGCATAGAAATATGCGTACGCATTTTTCCACGCACATATCGGATTTATAAAAAATAAACTTGGCGTAAATAAGTGCGCACCGTAAGGATGCTCTTGACCGTGCGTACGCACTCTTTTAGAAGAGTAGGGGTAGAGTGGGGGAAAACGCCCCCCTTAAGGAAAATGTGACATTACTGTGAAACAAAACATAAATGTGACTAGAATTGCCATCCCAGTTTTGAGTGACTATGGCAGGAGAATATTACTAAATATTAAAATTGCTCAACCTGCATAATTATATATATTTTTTGACTGAAAATATTTTTGTACAAAGGGGGCGTTTTGCCCCAGCGGTGGGGTAAAACGCCCCCCAAGGTGGGGTAAAACGCCCCCTTTCTTACCAACCAGTTTGCTTCATAGATCAACAGCAAAATAAACATAGTTTTTAATCTCTAAAAGTAAAAGGCAAGTAATGCAACAACATGTATATATACCTATTAATATTTATTTCAGGAATGTACAAAATAGCCAAATTTCTAACATTTTAATATTTTGATTTCTACACTAGGCCTATATGGGGTTGATAATTGATGTAGTATTTGTTCACCACTATCATCAAGAAAAACAGAAAACCCTAAATAAATATTAAACATAAATTTTTATATTTAAAGTGAAATATATTCAATAAATGCTCTAAAAGTCACTA